CCCTCGGCACTGCGGTCGACATGTAACACATATTAGTGCCTACAAGACTGCATGAATACCTCACCCATTGCGTCGAACACAGTGCGCCGGTCAGGAGCAGTTGGCGTGAAGCGCGTAGCACCTACAAGACTGCAGGAATACTTCACGCATTGCGCCAAACACAGTGCGATCAGCCCGGCGCAGCGGCGGAAGTTAAAATTATTAAACCACATTTATGTTTGTTCTTTCAATTTTTTTGTTCATTTCTGATAAATGGAGGACCTTGTTTATACTACAGAGATATGTTTACGGACCTTAACTTTCGGGCAAAGTTCCGTGAAATTTTGCTAGTAGTGTTGACAGGGCTTTCGCAAAAAATGTACTCAACACGAGTAGGTAAACGCGTCTTATGCACTTCTCCCCCTTCGGTACGTTCACTTGATGGTTTTTATTGATGTTTCAAAGCGAATGAGAAGGGGGCGGCAAAATAAGGCGGCCCATGGGCGGCAAGTAGGTAAATCCGGCCCTGCCGCAAAGGGTGTATTATAGAATTCCATCATAAGACGAATTTTTGCGACTGGATTCGGTGAAATTTTTTTAATAAATGACTGTCGCGTCATTGTTGGAATTTCGACCAATAAGAATTGAGTATCTATTTTTCAATCAAATCCTGAAGGAATTGAGCCACATCCAGGATTTTTTTTAAAAAGAAAAATCGCGCCAATTGGCCGATGCAACACGATTTAATATACGGTATTACAAATCACAATACAAACGTACCAAAAATATGTGAAAATGTCAACCAAATTCACTTGCGGGAGAGAATGAACACTGACCCCTATGGGGATCTTTAGAAACCAATTAAATGGCTGCGACACTCGATGTTGGAGGGAGTTGAAGTTATTGCCAACATTCGACGGTTATAACCTGTTGCATGTCTTGCCAACATTGCCCTGGTAGAGATATTACTAGAAAAGACTTTCTCGGATGCAGTGCACAAAGTTGGTTTGAAAACATTTGAATTTGTATAACGGTATGATCGGTGGAAAATTCACGGTGATTTAAGAAAATGACATCTCATAGTTTCTGTCATTTTTCATCATCTGCATGCAACTTTCGCCGTTTTGGGGGTCCTGAGAGTTTTTTGAAGCCCCTGGAGCAAAAGAAAAAAAAGAAAGTCATATGTTTTATTTATTTGGGACAATCGACAATAAACAGGATCTCAACCCTCAAAAACTCAAAGTTGAGTCATGGATTCTAAAGTTTGAAAGCGTGCTTTTCTAACATTTAAGGCCAAAAAAACACCCGAGGCTAGTATCGTGGCAATTTGAAGGTCGAGGCTCGAAATATCGAATTGCAGCTTATTCTCCAGGACGCAACTGAGAACTCTTGTCTAAATCGCCTCAAAATCTCATTTTTAGACTCACCTCGACAAAAATCGCTCTCTTTAGAATTTGCCTCTTTGCAAAGAAGGTACTTTTTTTGTGAACGATCACATTTCTTAAGATCAAAATTGCTGAGGAAAATTAACTTAGAAATTCTTGATGAATTAAACTTATTCCCGGAGCGCGTAAGGACGTAAAAACGTAGAAGAAAACACCTTCACGAGTACATATTTAACATATCCATAGCATAATTTTTGACAAGATATTTAAGGACCATTAAGAAATACCCATCCAGTTTTCTCCGTGCAAAATTTTGCTATGGATGTGCTAAATATGCACTTGTATACAAGTGTTTTCTTACATATTTTCGCGTCCTTACGCACTCGGAAATAAGTCAAATTTATCAAGAATATTCTCGTGAATTATCCTCACCAATTTTGATCTTGAGAAATGTGACCGTCCACAAAAAAGTATCCTTAGTGCAAGGAGGCAAATTTTTGACAAGATTTCTGAGGACCATTGAAGAATACCCATCCAGTTTTCTCCGTGCAAAATTTTGAATCGCCAGGTCATAAATTAGTTAACTATTGACGAGGTAATTACGCAATGAGCGAACTGGAAGCGCATGCACCCCGTTTAATCGAGGTATTGAATGATTTATACTAAAAATGGTAGCTGACTTATGACGTCTGCGTTGGGCGGGGGAGGCGGGGGGGAGGGCATAGGGCTCAAATCAGAGCTCAGTGACACGAGATGATAGGATTTGTTACAGACGACGACGCGTGCAGAATGATTGTGGCGAACTTTTACCGACGGGGTGCAAACTGCAAGGGGAAGCCTCGACCCCAGGAGAAGGCGCGGCGGGGAGCGGAGGGGGGTACGATCTACTCAACGCATACATTATTCAAGACGCTTAAATTGATACTCCCATGGTTTTATAAACTATCATGCTCATTTTCATTTTGCAACTCCACGCCCGCCCAAGTTATGCTCCACGGCTCGCTTGTACGGTACGCCATCGACAGCTCTGTCACAAAATTCCTGTGTTGTCCGACCTCCCGAAAACCACCCCCATGACAATGGAGGCACTGGATGCGAAAAGGGCACTTCTCGGTTGCAGTGTTTTAGAGTCTCCTCTAATATTTCATTCATTGTAAGGAAAGTGAACGCGTCCATTTCACTAAAAAAAAATTTTTATAATACTGCAATAAATCGGCATCGATAAAATCGCGATACATTCTTCGATCAAATCGCAACTTATCGTGATCACTGCTACTTGGGATATTGACCCGAGACTTGCTATTAAAACACCGTGCCACGCCCATTGTACATGTGCAGGGCCAGTGCGTACAAGCTTTCGATACAGTTCTTCAAATGCATCCTAAAAAAAGATTCAGACGTGAAATTGAAAAAAAAAGGAAAAAATCGAAGTGTCCAATAACGTCTATTAACACAGCCGAAAATAAGAGAGACGTATTCGACCCTCGTTTTTTAACTTTTCTCCCGAGTCTAAGCGACACCTCATTGGCAGCATAGGGTGGACCAATTGGACCATTACGACTAACGAGTTCATGCCTCGCGCCTTCAATTTTGCAGATGCAACACGGACATCCATCGAGCACGAATAGTTGTATCTCTGCGCCGTCATTAACGCGCGTCGTTTTCCTTGCTCTGTTTCCATATTGTGTTGCTTTCGTTAGTCTTATTTGCCGTGGTGCTTCAAGGGCTACGTGAGCAACTTATTCTTCTTTCTTCTTCTCTTTTTGTTGATAAACTAAAAAGTTGGGTCATAACATGAACAGGAGTGTAGTATAGCGGATTCAAAATGAAATTTTGGAATGGTAGACGTACTGGTACATACACCTTTTGAGAATGATTTGAAAAAGAATGAGGTTTAAAATTTTCTGTTTTAACTACACCTTCACAATATTTGAGAATTTTTGAATGAATATAATTCAAGATATAAGCGTGCATATAGGTATTTTTTGGAACGTCGCAATTGTAATGCGCGTTTTTTAAACTAAACATTTTTTAAGAGTGGTGTCCAATTATTTTCATTTTTTATAGTACATTGGAAAAAAAACCACATTGGATCTAGAGTCCAGACTCTTGAAAACATTCACAAGACAAGTACTCTTGATTCAATCGGATTTTTGCTTGAATCAAAACAAAATCCGCTTAAATTAAGAGGCTTAGTTCTTGATTTAAGCTAGATTCTGATCAAATCAAGAGTACTTTTTCTTGTCGATATTTTTAAGAGTCTGGACTCTAGATCCAATATGTTTTTTTTCCTTTTTTTTTTCCTCCAGTGTGTGATATGTGATGAGTTCAAATTGTTAAATACTGAGATGAACATTCTGGTGGACAGCCCCTTCGCTACAGTTGTTTACCTACATTATTAATAAGTCGAGTTGTAATTTGATACGAGGAATGAGAAGGGTTAATATCCATGCAATTTCATTGTAGGGTCAAAGTCGCACGTGCCACCCTCTCGGAAGAGACAAAGCATTGTAATCGGTGCTCATCGCTTCACCTTAAAACAACATCTTCAGAGTTCAACAGAATGAATCAAGTCCAACATTTAATTTTTGAAGTCTCAAAGCCCAAGTAGCAATTTTGATGAAAAACTCGCGATATTTTGGAATTAAGTTGTGATTTTTCGGCGATAAAATCGCTAGGATCGTCAACATCTGAGCGATTATCCTCGATCTTGTAGCAATTTCATCTCAATAAAGTCGAAATTTTATTTTAATTTAGCACGATTTTTCCTCGATAACGTTGCGATGGATTGCCGTCAATAAAATTGCGATATTATTGCAAATTAATGCGATGAAATCGCTATTTTGTATCTGATAATATTGTAATAAATCGACGTCGATAAAATCGAGATACATTCTCCGATCAAATTGCAACTTATCGCGATTACTGCTACTTGGGAGGGATCCAATGAAAGTGTCATAAAGTGTCAGAAAGTGTTATTTTAGTGATTCCTCATACAGATTTTACAAAGATATAAAATAGGACAGGAAAAGACAGGGACGAGGCTGAAAAACACAATTATTTACAAAACATAATTTTTTTTACAGAGATGTGATGGAGTAAGCAAGAGCGCGCCCTCAGGGTGAAAAAAAAATGAGATCACTCCTTTACAACTAAAATGGATCAATCTTACATTATTTTATGCAGTGTTGACAATTTATTGAATTTCCTAGTCGTAAGGCAATTAAGGTCGGGAATCCGGAAAGAACACGGTTAAAGTTCGTTAATTTCATTAATTTAATAACTTCAAAAAACAGTATACTTTACATGATCATACCATCACGGGTAATGCAGTTGGAATTTGAACCCAAAGTTCTTAGGAGTATCGGAAAGCGTCTAGCAGAGAGGACTGGAAATTCATTTTTTTGCCCTTGAATGAACTTTTTCGCTACCAGTGGGTACGCTACGCCCCCGGACCGCTTTGCGTTCCAACCCCTCGAAGCGCTTCGCGCCTCAAGCGTATGCGTTGCGTGTTTCTTTTATGATTTTATATTATAGAGCAGGATATAGAACAATTTAAAATTTTTTCTGACTCCGTAACACTGAAATTGATATTTACCTAAAGGCAAGGGCTAATTTTTTACCGATCGATTACAGATTGTGCTCCTTGCTGGGAAGATTCTAACTCAACGCACACAGGAAATCAAAGAAGAGGATCCTTGCAGTTGTGGCAATTTTTAGTTACCCTTTTGGATGACCCAGGAAACGCTTCCTTCATAATTTGGACGGGTCGAGGATTAGAATTCAAGCTGGTTGAACCTGAAGAGGTACGCTACACTTTTACTCACTCTCCTTACTTTTATCCTTTCGTACTCATTGTAACCATTGCCTTGAGAAGAGAGAGCCGTATCTTTACCTCTGAAACTTTTTTTTGTTTTTTGTTTTTTAAATAAAGTGCTCTAATTTAAGAGTATCTTATCATCTAAGTACGTCATTATTTCCTTTATGATTTTCCAATTTTTCCCGTCATTCTAAAGATATGACGGCTAAAATAATATCACTATGTTTATCTTTTCTGACAATATATTGGTCATTAAAAGCAAACTTATATCATTTGACGGAAAGCTTAAGTAGGATTCTATAAAAAATGTCTGTGCTACTCTAATGCACGGTATTTGTGAACTCGCAATTAAGGAAATTCAGTATTCCGGGAAAGTTATTTGATCATTAAGATCACTATATTGAGTTCAGTGGCCACATATCACACGAGTAGATTTTTGTGCTTCGGGAAGTGGGAGCTTTGAATCGACGAATACGGAATACACTGATTTTTCATTTGGACTACATTTTGGAATAAGGAGCACTCTTTCTGGCTCATTTCAGAAAAAGCATGTGTGCCATTAAGTTTTTCTGCGCAAATGGGCGCTTTTGCAAATGACCCAAAAATTATAATTTCTAGTTGGGAAATGGGAATGCATCCTCATAATAATGCAGTTCAACAAGGAGTTTATTTTTATATTCTCTCGATCCTCAGGTTGCACGGAGGTGGGGCATCCAAAAAAATAGACCAGCAATGAACTACGATAAGCTGAGCAGGTCTTTACGGTACTATTATGAAAAAGGAATAATGCAAAAAGTAGCAGGTATGTATATGTACAGTATAATAGAGTCTATATTACATTGTCTATATAAAGAGTCTAATATTCAATCACCGTTTTTCTAAGCAAATGTCATCGGAAAAAGATGCGTAATTACATCTGAAAGCGTCGACACACATTGGAAATACATTTCTCCTCATCTTAAACGATGAAAATGGACCTGACATCGTGTGCGCCCTGAATTTGGAGGGTATGCAATTCGAGCTACTTTGCCGTTTAAAATAAGTACGTTGTACTGTGAATTGCGGTCTGTCAGCATGGCGTTTTATAGATGAGAAACGCGTACACTAAGCTTATACTCATTCTTTTACAGGAATCCAGGGTCAAATATTTCAAATTCCTTTCTTCATGATCATTTCAGTTTATTTTACGTGTTTTCTAGCCGTTCAGAACAAGTAAAGAACCTCGACTGACATCTTCAAAAGGAACTTTTTAGGATGTGAAATTTGTCACGAAACGTCAGTAGGATTCACATACTTGAATCGGTCGACATTAAAACTCAGTGTCTGAAAATCACTTTATAGGAGAAAGGAAAAACGTTCATCCAATGAATAAATTATGTACGTCGGCAATACCATTGAGATTTTCTTTTGCAATTAAGAACTATTTCTGGCTCATCCACAGTGGAATTGTAGTTTATTTAATATCTCCAAGAGTTTGTGGTGTGAGTCATGATTACTTTTGACAAGCCTGCTTGATTTTCATTGAATTAGAGGGCGTATTTAATATGGTACATGTTAGATTTCGAATGATCTTTTCCAACGACACGTCCATTTTCCAGATACTTCTACGAAATCATCACGCAGAGTATGGAAAATTCTCTCAAAAGAGAAGATTTCCATGGAAAAAAACTCATTTTTTGTTTTTTCGACATTCTTGGTCTTAACGCCGGCTGACTCGTTAACTTAAAAATGTACACTTTAAGTGCATCTGTACTGCATTTTGCAATTAGGAACCACCATTTCTGACTCAGTTTAAGAACAACGTATGCGCCGTTAGTTTCCCTATACACATAAGCGTTTTCACTAATGACTCGGAAATCGTAGTTCCGAATTGCACAATTTAGTCCATCTAAAGATAATGACCGTCTATAAGTGACGTCAGGTACTTTTCCCGATTTTTGGACTTCTCTCTCCCCACCCCATCACGGAAAAAAAAGGCCTGCTACCCGAGCGGACTAGTCCGTACCGGTTGCAGGAAAGTTCCTGTGAATATAGCGCTATAGAGGGTTACCGGGGTTGACGACTGTAATAGTACCTGTGAATTTGATGGTCACTATGCCGGAGTGGGCAACTGCGAATGTCTCGCTACGCCGCCCGTCATACTCATTCACCACTCCAGAGAGGTCCGCTGTGAATACCGGAACTCCCGGTCGTTCATGCGGGCTTATTCGTTCGTTAGATCAGACCAAGACGAATTTTNCGTTGTACTGTGAATTGCGGTCTGTCAGCATGGCGTTTTATAGATGAGAAACGCGTACACTAAGCTTATACTCATTCTTTTACAGGAATCCAGGGTCAAATATTTCAAATTCCTTTCTTCATGATCATTTCAGTTTATTTTACGTGTTTTCTAGCCGTTCAGAACAAGTAAAGAACCTCGACTGACATCTTCAAAAGGAACTTTTTAGGATGTGAAATTTGTCACGAAACGTCAGTAGGATTCACATACTTGAATCAGTCGACATTAAAACTCAGTGTCTGAAAATCACTTTGTAGGAGAAAGGAAAAACGTTCATCCAATGAATAAATTATGTACGTCGGCAATACCATTGAGATTTTCTTTTGCAATTAAGAACTATTTCTGGCTCATCCACAGTGGAATTGTAGTTTATTTAATATCTCCAAGGGTTTGTGGTGTGAGTCATGATTACTTTTGACAAGCCTGCTTGATTTTCATTGAATTAAAGGGCGTATTTAATATGGTACATGTTAGATTTCGAATGATCTTTTCCAACGACACGTCCATTTTCCGGATACTTCTATGAAATCATCACGCAGAGTATGGAAAATTCTCTCAAAAGAGAAGATTTCCGTGGGAAAAAACTCATTTTTTGTTTTTTCGACATTCTTGGTCTTAACGCCGGCTGACTCGTTAACTTAAAAATGTACACTATAAGTGCATCTGTACTGCATTTTGCAATTAGGAACCACCATTTCTGACTCAGTTTAAGAACAACGTATGCGCCGTTAGTTTCCCTACGCACATAAGCGTTTTCACTAATGACTCAGAAACCGTAGTTCCGAATTGCACAATTTAGTCCATCTAAAGATAATGACTGTCTATAAGTGACGCCAGGTACTTTCCCCGATTTTTGGACTTCCCTCTCCCCACCCCAATGTCAGGTGCCCTCTTCCCTTCTCCCGCCCTCATTTTAAAGGGTATGTCAGGCAGTCGTAGTCGCCACTCCATTCAACGTACCAACGTACCTGACGTCAATTACACTGAAAAAAAAAGTTACGGGTTATATAGACGTACCGTCCGTTCCGGACTCAGAGGCCGAAAGTTCCGGGTACTGGAGCCATACCTTCGATTGCTCCGGGTGCTACAACCGGAACTATCAGTCTCTGAGTCCGGAGCACGGACGGTATGTCTATATAACCCGTAAGTACGGCTTCCACAGCCGGATTTTTTTTCAGGGTTTGGACGGTCCAATATACTGATGGTGATCTCTTAAGTCATCTACTCTACGGTTGGTTCTTATTTTCCGCAGGGGAGCGCTACGTCTACAAATTCGTATGCGACCCGGAGGCGCTCTTCAACATGAGCAGTGGCTGCAGTTCGAGCAACGGGAACACCTGCCACCGGGGCCTCAAGTCGGAGGCCCTCTGCTCGCTCAAATCGGCAGCCTACTCCGAAGTCATGTCCACCATCTACAACACGGGCAGCAACTGCAATTACACGACGCAGCTTTCCCACTACCTGACCTACGCCTCCGGAGACCCCCCTCACGCCTCGGGCATGTTCAAATCCCTCAACTCTCGTTGCTTCACCTACCACCAACAGAGATTCAACAACCAGGAGAGATTCATCAACTACAACAATCAGCATTGCCTCGGCGATTACGCGCCCTGCTACAACCGCGAGGATGNCAACGTACCTGACGTCAATTACACTGAAAAAAAAAAGTTACGGGTTATATAGACGTACCGTCCGTTCCGGACTCAGAGGCCGAAAGTTCCGGGTACTGGAGCCATACCTTCGATTGCTCCGGGTGCTACACCCGGAACTATCAGCCTCTGAGCCCGGAGCACGGACGGTATGTCTATATAACCCGTACGGCTTCCACGGCCGGATTTTTTTTCAGGGTTTGGACGGTCCAATATACTGATGGTGATCTCTGAAGTCATTCACTCCACAGTTGGTTCTTATTTTCCGCAGGTGAGCGCTACGTCTACAAATTCGTATGCGACCCAGATGCGCTCTTCAACATGAGCAGTAGCTGCAGCTCGAGCAACGGGAACACCTGCCACCGGGGCCTCAAGTCGGAGGCCCTCTGCTCGCTCAAATCGGCAGCCTACTCCGAAGTCATGTCCACCATCTACAACACGGGCAGCAACTGCAATTACACGACTCAGCTGTCCCACTACCTGACCTACGCCTCCGGAGAGCCCCCTCACGCCTCGGGCATGTTCAAATCCCTCAACTCTCGTTGCTTCACCTACCACCAACAGAGATTCAACAACCAGGAGAGATTCATCAACTACAACAATCAGCATTGCCTCGGCGACTACGCGCCCTGCTACAACCGCGAGGATGGCTACCGGTCCAACCAAGAGGGGATCAAATGCTACAACTACGATGCCCCCGATGCGAATTGTGACGGCGCCACCGGTGTCAATAATAATTTCGATAAGTTCGATAGGAATAGCGAGGGCAGGAGCAAGGAGGAGAGAAAGAGGGAAGCTTACGAGAGTCAGGATGACGGTCTCTGCCGGTCGCTGTCGAAAGATAAGTCGAGCTTTGAAAGTTTGAATTTGGCGGCTCCGACGGCAGAGAGCGCGCAGAGCCTCGGCGAATCCCCAGAGAGGACGCGGCCGGCTGTCAATCTTGAGTCGCTCCAATGTGATCTCTCGCACCATTCGCATCTTGAGAGTAACCGGTGTGAGTGTTAAGCTTGAAAGACCACGTATTTCCCTTCTTCCGCAATCGTCAGGTAACGACAATCACTTCAACGCTCATTCTCAAATTTTGCATCTAATCAATACAATTATAAACATTTGCCATGAAAAAAAAAACGGTACGCAAATGTGTCTCTCACTGTCCCGCGCTGAAACACTATCTCAATTTTTGGCATACTATCTGTAAATGTCATGCCCCGATGTTTATTGTTGCTGAGACCAGAAAAAAAAGAGAAAAAATGCAAAAAGTGTGGTATTGACTTGCGCCCTGTCGAGACTATTTGCCTGAAAAATTAACGGGAAACTTTTATTTGTTTTTGTTTCTTTAAGTAGGTTTGTTTATTTTAATAACTTTAAAGATTAGCGAAAAGTTTCAAACAATGTGATTGAGTAACGATTTTTTGTTAAGTCGCCTCTGACAGTCTTATATTTAAACGTTTGATACTAAGTCGATTTCGATTAAACTATTCCATGAAACTCGGCATCAACGCTGAATGCAGGCTGAGATATTTTAGTCCGACCATTCTCGAAAAAAGACAATTTTTTATGCTCAGTACAGTCATACGTTTTCGATGGATCAAGCAATGATCACCATACAATTCCTTAATGGAGTAAAAAGAAAAAAAATAAGGATTCCATAATGGCTGGGTGTGAAGCCGCTAATATTTGTAAGTACTACGCACATTAAGATAATAGATAAACACCATCGGATTCAAGTGAGACGAGCTGCTTCAACAAAATCGTGATAGGGAAGACCTGTTGATCATGCGATAAGCGTACCGGATTCTGCGTCAAAAATTACATGTCCGACCTCTCTAATTGATTCGATCAACTGTGCGATGTCTTACATATAAGATGAGTCTCAAGTGGAAATTGAGGTATGCTCCTACGCCAGAACCTTCCTATTTTCCGCCGTTTTGTTTATCCGCGGATTTTGATTATCCGCGAATTATTTTGGTCAGTTTCGGCCCCAATTATCATTAATCGACGGTGAAACTTCTAAGCCACGTAACTAGATTGCGGTGTTAAAAAATCTCCGCTCCCATTTCAATTTTTTACAGGTTAAAGAATCAACACAATTCCTTAATTTTTCACAGATTGTTCTCTACCCAGAGAAGAAAAATCATGGCAGTTTTTAAAAATAGCCGTTGAGTAGTTCTCCATTTAAAAAATTAAATACACCAAGAAGTCTGCATCGTCGCAAACCGTCGAGATACGTGGTTTTGGGAGTTTCGCCGTCGAAATACAATACCTTATTATACAACAGTATGTCACCAAAAATTACAAAAATAATTCTTCAAAGAATATTATCACTGATTTGCGTTTTGCTCTGACTCTAAAATTTGCAGGAGTAAAGGTTGAAGGTATAATATCACATAGATAAGTAACCGGACTTCAAATAAAATATGAGCGATCATATAAAATAGAGTTAAATTCCAAAATAAATAGGTTGGTCTACTGCTCCAACTGTATTTAGACAATTAATTTGTAATCTGAATATTTTACTTGCATCATTTTTTGAACTTAATTTTTCCAAGAGACCTAATGACCTCGTAATTCTAGCTGTATCGTTGAAATAATCGCTTGTGTAAATTACTCGACAAAATTTTCACTCAACCTGTTTACCTCTCCATTTTCTCAACAAAAAACTTTTCCTTTCTCGTTTTTTTTAAAAAGCTTCGATTAATTCCTCCTCTCCAATAACTACTGCCTCATTTTGTTTCAATTTACTAATTTTCTTGGTAATATATCCTCCTTTTATTTTTTCTGGTATTTCTCATTTCTCTCTAACATCTTCCTCTTAATTAAAAAACAAATATATCATCAGGGTGCAGAAGTATTTTTATGTAGTCGGCACCTTTGATATTTGACTGCTTCCAGTTTTTCAACTTTTAATACGTAGCTTTTCACCTCTCACTAACATCAGTTTTCTTCGTTAAACATGAGCTTGGGAAGGGCTCCGGATTTTGCATGCAAAATCACCTGAATGGTGACCATCAAAACCCGCGACCTTTTTCAAATGGATGAAATGAAAGTTGAAATCTCGTCCAAGCGTTCTATTGCCGACTTTGTGACCAGCATTTTAAATTTCACTTAAGTAAATCAATACGTGATACTTATCATACCAATTTTTAGAATATCACGTTCAAATTAAAATTTGCGCCCGCAAAGCTGATTTGATACCCCATGGTACACGGACTTTATGTCCACTTTTTTACGTCCACAGACTTTTCGTCCACAATTTTTACGTCCACAGTTATAAAGCCCACACTATTGTTAAGTCCACTACTTAAACGTCCACTAACTTAAGTCCACAAAAGTAAAGTCCACCAAAATCAAATTCAAGCGTCATATTTTAGTCCGTGTGTAAAATTATATTGACAATATCGAAATGAGAAAATTAAGAGAGAATGAGGTGTTGTTATCGTAATTCATATTTTAAATGAAATGTTAATTTCTTCTTTTGATTCATCTTTTCAAATTATCTTTGGTAAATATTTGGTTTCATTTCTATCCTTGAAATTTCCGATATAAAATATGCCTTAAATGTACATTCTTTTTTTGTAATGAAATTGATTACATCATTTTAAAAACGTTCACATTTTTAAAACGTGGTAAATATTTGTAAAACCTTTTCCAAGCAATGGCATCGATGTAAATCTCAATGAGCCGTAGTTGTGATGAAAGAAACTATACAAAAATTAATATAAGAGGAAAAAACTAAGAAGCACGCAATTTTTTGTCTTTAACTTATTTGTACATCGACCTCCTTGAGTCAAATACGTCCAATTTTGAGCGTTTGGTTGCGCTTACGCCACGCTGCAGCACAGTAAAAGCCCAAAACATAAAAGAATAAAATTGACTGCTTTGGAAATCATTAAATTTGACACGGAACCTCTATTATATTTACAAACACATTATATTTTCCAGTAGTACATATTTCTTTTTCATCAATTTTAATAAGAATAATTCATGCAGAAAGTGCAAACAATTCAAATTCATGAGTTGAAAAACGCTGACTCCGCGAGTTTAAATATTAGAGCCTAACACAGAGTGGAGCGGCGTGTTAGCAGCGCAGAACGCGCACTGGCGCCTATGCGCGTGTCACGCTGGTTGCCTGCCGCGCCGCAACGCTTTAAGAAACTATTTCGCGTCAGCGGCGTTGCACAGTATCCTACAAGATTGAAGGCGCACGAAATAACTAGTTAAAGAGGACTTTCAATTTTGACTGCATCTGTTACTGAAAAATGTTTAATTTGACATTGGAGCGTTTCCTAGGCTCCCGCTTTGGTTTTCATCTTATCATATCCGTACAGTGTACACATGAACATAAGTTTTTATCTGCTCTTAGAGTATGTTCTTTTTCATGACTTGATTCATGAATGAAATGTTTTTTAAGAATGAAGGTAGTAGTAGTATGCATTTATTTTTGAGGTGGTTCCTGTCATTTAAATGAGAAGAAAAAAATTTGGACATAACATGTCCACAATTTGGACAATTTTGGATATATTCATGGTTGGACATTAAATCATGTGGACTTAATAAAGACTGGACTTAACGTTTAGTGGAAATAAATAGTGGTGGACATTTATTTAATGGACGAAAGGTAGGTGGACATAAAGTCCTGGAAGCTACCCCATGCTTGATAGCATATTTTGGCAAGTTCACAGTTTCATCGGATGTTGTTTATGCATACCACGACTAAAATCAACAGTCTTATCCAATTCGAAGAAACAAACTTTAAATAGATCTTAAGTTCATGTGCAGCCCTTAGTTTCATTCATAAAAACATCGAATGTCATGAATGAGGTTAATCTCCAAGACGAAACGAAAAACATTTGCTCATAAATAAATTTGCGATCACTCCGGACGAGTCGGTTTATTATGAAAGACAGTAATAGTTGTAACCTTCAACATAACTACTTATAATACACACCTTTGCTGCTGTTAGTTACCTACCCATATATCCGCACAGTTCAATTTTGATGACATCATATACATTTAAGATACAAGTACAAAGGAATTACGATTTTATAACTTAATTTGGTGCGAGTTATATTCACTAGTGAATATAGCGTGCAAAAGCTCTGCAATTGATCTCGTAAAAAAACCACCTTCTCCTCAGTCCGTAGATTAGGTATCAGCTAGAGATCGATTTCATAACACGCATTTGAGAAAATTGTAAACGATGGAACTTTGGTCAAAATTGACATGAAACCATGAACAACGGTATTTCACTTTGAATATATTATACAAAGCAGTTTAATCGTAGACGTTGACCTCTATAACATTTTTCGTATCATTTATATTTTAAGGCATATTTGTCAGCGGAGTGATTATTGAAATCTGTAGACAAAGCTATAGTCAAAGAGGGCAGAGGGAAAATGGAGCGATCCTATTGGTTGAAAAGGGTGGCCGTTATGGACTAAGGGGGAAAATGATGGACTTCCCTGGGGCTTACATCTCCACGCGCAACCGTCAAAATATTTAAGAGACATCCAGATTATCGGATCACCCTGTAAAGTATAATGTGAAGCTACGGGAATGACAATAAACGGAAGCCTTGGCTGAAACCCGTCTGCGGGTCTCGAACGTGGGTCGCGTCGTGAGCTTCGAGGACAAGGTCAGGACCATTTCGGCAGCCGCTTTGTCGCCGATGACCGCACCGACCTAATTTTATACTCTTTACTTCATCGTGCCGAAATTTATCGTACGATCTTCCGCCCCCCCTTTTTTTTCCCTCCCTGCCCTCTCCTTCCGTTCAATCCTCTTCCCTTCTCTCGCTCCCCTTCGCTCTGTGCTATGCAGGGTGATCCAGGGCTAATTGGCCAGACTGCAGGAGCGGGTTTTATGGGTCAAAATAAGACTTGTTTGTTGTAAATTGAGTTTATTCCATTTTTTTTTAGATCATTTATGAATTTAGGGCATAAAAGTAAAATTGCCGGCAAAATCTTGTAAATTTTCTGTAGATACAGTTAAAATTACCTTTCATCGGGGATGTCTAATAATGGCTGTATTCCCGGATTTTGGTAGTCGATAAAATTATCGGCATGAAGGACAAAATTAATTAATGGTAATTATCGATCACCAGGAATTTCTGGTAATTTCATTGCGTTCCCGGTACTTAAAAGTTTGTGAATTTTTCAAGAACACATTAAAATCACTGGAAGACGGTAGTCACCAAGAAAATCGGTAACTTTCTCGGTTTTTTTCTTATTCTCCTTCCCTCCCTCTTAGTACGTACAGTGTCGTTCATAAATAATTAGTCCCAGTGAGAGGGAGACTGGTGCCTCTGCGCTCTGCCATGCTGAGTAAAAACGCTGAATGAGCATCCGAATGTTGAAAAATTTCCTCTCAGAAAATATTTATTTTTGAAGAAAGTTATGAATATTTTCTCTTGACATTTTCAGACTCTAAAGTAGTCTACAGATCAAATTACGAATGAAATCCTCTGAAAAATCGGAGGAGAAATATTTACAAATTTTTCTGAAAATTCATCATTTGTAGAGGGTGAATTGGCAATGTTTGATGGCTCATGCGGCGTTCTTCCTTTGTTCGGCAGTGCTGATTCTAGAGTTCCATCCATGACCCTATATACCGAACTTTTTTTTCAACGTACTTACAAGTAAACATAATCCAAAAGACTTCAGACTTATCACCATGAGGGGCCGATTAGGAAGCATAGTTGCCAGATAGTGTTGAAAAATCAGCCAAATGTTGCCAATCATGTTGCCAAATTTCGTCTCAGAAAATATTTATTTTTGAAGAAAGTTATGATTATGTTCCCTTGAAATGTTCCTACTTTAAAGATCAAACTACGAGCAAAACCCTCTAAAAAATCGGAAGAAAAATATTTACAAATTTTCTTGAAAATTCATCATTTGTTGAAGGAGAATTGGACGGAGTTAAACAGAAGGAAACCAAGGTACGTCGGGATCTAACTGAGAAAAAGAGGTTTAAAGTTTGGCTCCTGCATCAGACTCAATGTAAAAGATAAAATTCAAGTTCAATTTCTGCAAAATTTGCTGCAACAAAAACTTTGAATTTTCGGCGATAGATAGTAGAGCAGTGGTTGAGTTCAAAACCACTCATAACTCAATTTTTTCCATGTCCAACTCAGTCCAATTGGCATTGCCTGATGGCTCAAGCGGCGTTCTTCCTTAGTTCTGGCAGTGATCCCCCATTTAAACACATGTAAAATATCGACATTTAATCGCAAGATCTCGCAACTTCGTGGGAAGACTCAGGCAGGCATATGCTCAGCCTCCGGGGGCGAAACAATAAAATTTTGAGCATCCGCTCGATAGAATCGTTTACGGATACTTAGCATGGATCATGCGGAGCCGAAAAAAAACAAGGATAACTTTCCCATTAGGACGGCGAGGCAGATATTTTAATGAATGATCTCATAGTGTGTACGATGTACGTCGCCAAGGCCGAGATGAAGACGCTTGGAATCTCGCCTTCAATTCACACCTTCCTCGACCAGTCGATGACCGTACCTCATTACCCGTGGCGTGGCGTGAATTGCGATGTATCGATTGTTATGCCATTTAAACCTATGGTAAAGAATCGATTATTAAGGTGTTCGCTGCGAACACCCTTTCTATCGATCCTTTTCCATGGGTTTAAATGGCATAATAATCGATATATCGCAAAGCACGCCACGCCACTGCTCATTACGCCTGCAAATTAGGTCGTCTTCGCACCTGCTTATCGGAAGGATTAGGTCTTTCAAATTTACTCAAAACTTTTGACTTACACTCGCAAGATAAATGAGGGGCTTGGAGGACAAGGCGCATAAGTGCACTTTTTTCTATTTCGAGAAATACGCGTTTGAAGTTTTGAAACTACATGGATCCTCATGGCGGAGAGAAAGTTTGTCCTGACTTTTTGATGCTTAAAGAATGGAATTTGGAAGCGAAGTTTGCACGAATAAGGATCAAAACTTGTTTTACTTGAAATCATCAATGACTCAATTTTTTCAACTGTACTTGTGTGCCTTGTCCTCCAAGTCCCTCAAAGGTTACTGCAATTTTACGTCAAGGTAGGATTTACCTACTTGCCGCCCATGGGCCGCCTGTATTTTGCCTTCTCATTCGTTTTGAAGCATCAATAAAAACTATCAAGTGAACGTGCCAGCGGGGGAAGGATGCAGAGGACGCGTTTTCTTGTGTTGGACACATTTTTTGGGAAAGCCCTGTCAACACTACTAGCAAAGTTCACGGAACTTTGCGCGAAAGTTAAGTTCCGTAAACCTATCTCTGTGTGGACAAGGCCTTCCATTCATAAGAAATGAGCGAAAAAATTATGAAAGAACAAACATAAATGTAGTTTAATGAGTTTAACTTCCGCCGCCGCGCCGCGCAGACTGCACTGTGTTTGGCGCAATGCGTGAAGTATTCCGACAGTCTTGTAAGCGCTAAGCGTTTCACGCTGACCGCACTGTCTTTGGCGCAACGCGTGAAGTATTCATGCATTCTTGTAGGCGCTATCCGTTTCACGCTGACTGCAGTGACCGCACTGTGTTTGATGCAATGCGTGAAGTATTCGTGCAGTCTTGTAGGCGCTAATATGTGTCACATGCCGACCGCCGCGCCGAGGGCTTCTCCTTTTCAGCTCAAGTCCTCGCCATTTCTCTCTAAGTTGCGTCGTTCCAGGCCAAATTGCGTGTTTGGTTTCTCTCTTAACTCGACTAATTAAAGGTGTTGTCTCTTGTATCACTGAAAGACGACAAAATTAGTAATTACTATACTCTCAGGAAATGAGAGATTTTGTTGCCTTTTCTCGTTTATAATTTTTGTTCTAAATTCGATTTTTTTTCATACCTATATTTAAAAAAATTGCAAAATTTGCCGCCCCCTAGATTTGCCGCCATGGGCCGCGGTCCATGTGGCCATCCCCTTAATACGGCCCTGTTTTATGTGATCAATTTGAGGCATCTGTTATTTACTTTATTACCTGGTTAGCTCGACCATCACTGTAGCGAGTGGCGAAAGCCTGGAGAATCGAAACGCCTCCCCCGACGTGCTGATGCAACACGAACATACACGGAGCCCGACTGGTTGCGTCCAGGACGATGCTTTTATTGTTTTTATATACAACAACGTTCCCGTCATAAAATATGGGCTAGGGGCCCCACTTCGAAATACAGGCGTTCGCTGAGTGTTGGAAATAATAAATTTAAAAAAAAAAATAAATAGAAATGTGGGGAAGTCTTACTTTTCGGTGAAAGTCATTTGGGAGTTGTTGATCGAAAGTCATCAGCCCGCAGCCCTTACTTGAGGTTCAACAGTCAATACCCCAGACTGACGCACACTGGTCCGAGTCAATAGGAGAAGTCGGGCAAAATCTGGAAACTTTGAAAGCTCATATTTTTAAAAATATGGAACCAGAAAGTTTAAAAGTGGTTTTAATAGTTTTTTCGCAAAATTTCCTTTCGGAAACATCCCTTGAAATTAAAGTAGTGACAAAATAAACATCCAAATTCGAAATTTTACCTAAAAATCTCATGTCCGACCTCTTCCATTAGCTCGTTCCACCGTGCGACGCTCCAGTTTGATGCCATCAGTTTGAGCGTCTGGAGGTGGCCATTAACTTTTGCCTCACTCAGTAACATTTCTTACATTTTTAGTGCGGGGCCTCTAAAATATATTGTCTCTAGTTTTATCATGCACTGGAAAAAGAACACATTGGATCTAGAGTCCAGACTCTTGAAAACATTGACAAGAAAAAATACTCTTGATTCAATCAGATTTAAGCTTAAATCCAAAGGAAATCCGCTCAAATTAAGAGGCTTGGTTCTTAATATAAGCTTAAATCTGATTGAATCAAGAGTATATTTTCTTGTCGATGTTTTTAAGAGTCTGGACTTTAGATCCAATGTGTGTTTTTTTTTTCCAGCTTGGGTACATCTATAGTAATTTGTATAATTGTTGTACAGGGACTGATATAAAATATGCCGAAGGTCAAGTCAGAGAAAAGGAACGCGGCCGACTCGGAGAACGATCCGAAGAAAGCGCAGAGCGGCTGGAACAACGGCAAACTCTTCGGGACGGAGACGACGGAGACTACATTCCAGGGCGCCGGGTTCAAGGACAAACAGAAAGCCCTGGAGACGATCAAACTCCTGGAGGGGCGCGACATCTCCTACCAGTACAACATCATCAACTCCATGTACAACAGAGCCAAGGTCATCCTGAAGCGCACCAACGACAAGGAGAAGATCCAGAACCTCAGCGAGGCCGTCGACACGTTCGCCGCCTGGATCGACGACTACAAGACCAACAACCGATCGAAGGAGAACCTCGGCTACCTCCCGCTCGAGACGGTGGAGAAGTTCGAGAAGCTGGCCAAGAAGTACGACATCAAGTCCAACGGGTTCCTCAAAGTTTACAGGGCGGCCGAGGGCGATTACAAGAAGCTCAGGGCGTGCAAGGTCGAGGGCAAGGAGGTAACTTGGGACGTCCACAGGAACAACGCCCTCAAAGCTCTGGACAAAGAGAACAGACAGGATCTTTGGGAGGAGAAGGGGCTCCCCTCGAAAATCCACACGCAACGGATCATGTGGGGTTATTCCAACGAGCCGTCCAAGGTTAAGAAAGCCATTCCGTTGTTGGAGAATCTTTAACTGAGCTGTGCGGCCCCTTAGAATCCAGGGCCCGGATCTTGTTGGCAGAGTTGCAGTCGGCTGCAAGTTGAGGCGCAGAGGCGGATCCAGTAACCTGGCAACGCCGGATTCCCTCCGTTTAAACCTATGTTAAATAATCGATTCTTGTCAGAGCACCTGCCCTCTCCAAGAATCGATACATTTCCATAGGTTTATATGGAGAGTGACAATGTTGCCAATTTGCTGGATCCGCCAATGCAAGAATGTTGACTTCGTTACTCGATCGCTGATAATGGTTTGCACCGTTGAGAAACTAAGGATGGCTCGACCCGGCTGTAAAAAAAGCTCAACTCGCGTACAACTTGAGTTTAGAATATAATTATTGCGACTTGAAGTCGAATTTAGAGGTTAGGTTTCTCAACTTGCGTCCGACCGTAAACCAACAAGATCTCGTCACCTTCCGGCCAAAGTATCACAAGCGCCACGCGACGTTTCGAAATCTCCGCCGCCATTTGATTTTTCTACAGAGAAAGTATTCAACGAAGCTGTCCGAAAATTTTACTGAATTTTCTTTGCCTTACTGATAAAATTCAGTGAATTTTTCGAACAAATTCAACCAACAATTTCTCCGTTTAAAAAAAATGGCGGCGGGAATTTTGGAGCCTCGGGCGCTAGTGATACTTTGGCCGGGAGGTGACGATGTGGGCCCAGAGAGTAAGTCTGTTATTCATTCTTAAAAAATTAGGCACCGAACTATGGAAAGTATATAAGACTCGAAATTTCAAGTGTTACGAGTTTTGGCATTTTTATTGTAGTATTTTTTTGACGTCACACGGCACTTTATGTCAGTCTCCGTTGTGCGTCTCCTATGTCTATGAATGGACAGAAAAATACATGCGTCTTTTGCAATGTTACGAATTCTCCGGTAAAACTTTTTTTTGTAACTTTTTTGCGAACATGGAATGCAAACTTTTGAGATATTCTTTCCCCTACGGCAATATCTCAGAGGTATCGTAATAGCATCAATGGATAAAATTTCGAACTATCCTTATCTGAAAAGTACTCCAATAACTATAAATTTATTTATTTGTTTGTTTATTTATTCATTCCTTCGTTATTAATTGTTTATTTTTATATGATTTGTATGTTTTTAATCAATCGATTATTATAATTTATTAATTATTTTTCATTATGTGTAGGTATACGATACCCGTGCTTATAATTTCTTTGATGTGTGTGTACAGTATCAATATTGTTCAAAATGATACAGCACTTTCATACATCCTGTGTACATCAATATAACTATAACAATAGCCGCGCATGTTTTCATTTATTTCCTCAAATACTCATTTGGCACCAACACCATAGAAAGCGAGCAAACTCTCAGACAGAGCCGCTTTCCATCTTTCCGCTCGATCGTACGAAGCTTGAAATCATATAGCGCCTTCAAACAATGTAGATGCTTTGCAGCACGACACCTACGCTCGTTGCATCGTCGCTTGTATTCGTCATACCACTCTGCACACGTTATATGCCTTGCTGAGGAAATGCACCATATCTGCGTTCGGACATTGCCGCACACCCTCCAATAAAATATTTATTTTTAAAAGTGAAAAGAAAGGACGAATGGAGTAAAATTTAAGGGATATGGGTGGCAGGTATGATAATTCCAAATTAAATTTATACACCAATAATTTCAATTAAGTTTTATTATTCAGACAAGTTTTAAATGCAAGACAGGAAATTTGCAAAGTCAGCCGAAGTGACTGTTCCGGACCCAAAAAAAAGTAGACTTGTCCCTTTCCATATCTTGGAGATTACAAAATATTTTCCAAACTTGTTCTCCTATCGTTAAAGGGATTCGAAGAAGCGACAATTAAAGCATATCGGTGGATAAAAATGGGAATGATCCATTGCTTGAAGTCTTTTTTGACTCTCACAATTCGTACAAGCTAGCCTTCGGCAATTCTTGACAATTAGAAGGTTCGTGCATTGATGTTACAGTATCGTTTAACGCACATTCCGTGTTACCTACATCTCAGGCAAAACTCGAGCGATTACAAAGAGTAACTACTTACAAAAAATCTGCACTTCGTGAACTTTCAAATGTCTTATCAGCTGGACTATAATCTGTATTGGAAACCTCTTCTTGAAACTAAGCACCAAGATGGCAGCTAATTTTTAATATTTTAAGTAGGGGAACAATATCAGGGGTGACATTTAAAAAAGGAAGGGTTGAAATTAGGGTTGAGGACTCTAGGATGAATTGGAATCAGGTTTACTGTGCTATTGATAGTGCCATAGATTGCACGGCGATTGCGGTAGATGCAGTAGATTGTGCCAGCTTCGCTAATCCTAGAATCGTGTTTTCGTGGTTGAATCTTAGAGACCAGCAAAATTTAGTGACATCTCTTCAAAATACAAGTCTCTACAGACACCCTGCGAGAAATGACTTTTTAAAACCGGCGTCTTTAAATTAATCTTCTACTAAAACTTAGGAATCAGTGGACCGTCACATCACGCAATTTTAGCCGCTAATTACATTGGTAGATGACGTCATCCACCAATGTTAATAGTGAATGAAGAGACTTGGGGTTTGGGTACATTTTCTTGTTCTTATTTGGTAATCTATAAGATTCGCCTACTAAATCTTGATTTTGTGACGCGCAACTGGACTACATTTTGCATGCTACTATTCTTGGCTCATTTTAGAAACAACGCGTGTACCATTAATTTCCCTACACAGATAGGTGTTTCCGACGATGAACCAGAAATATTAGTGCCCTATTGCGAAATTTAGTCCAACTGTCACTTGACATCGGACCAATCAGACAAACAGGAATTCCATTGCTTTCCCACCCTGCGGTCAGTCCGCCCGTATATGTTAAATTTCTACTTAGTTGAGACTTATAAATTTATGTGCTACGCTCTAGAATGAAATATCTTATCGTAGAAAAATAATAACTGATTGAGGGAAGGAGAACTACTTACTGGAGAAATTTTCTCGGTGACTTACATTAGTGACTCGAAAAATTAGATACTCGATTCTAATATCCACACAGGATCCAACGCGCTTAAGCTCCATATTAAATGCATTCTTGTTACTTAAATGGCATACACTGAAGAATTGGTTAAAAACTTTCTTTCAATTTGAAAAAACGATTGTTTTTGATTCGCAGAATTTTTTTAGGTCAAAAATGTTTTTGGCTAAAGAGAACATTATTGAAGTCCAATAAAAATTTGTTTTACCTAATGAAAATTCTTTTGGAGTAAAGAAAATTTGTTTGGTTCAAATTCATTTTTTCTTACTCAAAGGAAATCGTCACGATGATTTATAGTCACTTTTCGAATTTTAAAACCGAAAAAAAAAACCTTAAATTTAACTCACCCAAAAAATTGAGCCTTCAAGTTTCCTTTAAATCAAGCACAATGAGAAGGAAAAAAGAAAAAAGGAGTAGTAACCATTTCGTTCAGTGTGGTTGCCAGATTGTGCTAAAAACAGTACTATACCGCATGTAACTCAATGTAAAGTACGCACATTTTATCACACGACCTGGCAACAGCAGCGTGACGTGTTTTGCGATGAATCGATTGTTCTGCCATTTTAACCTGTGAAAAAGGATCGATTTTCAGAATTTTCGCAACAGACACCTTAAAAATCGATTTTTTTCTATAGCTTCAAATGAGATAGTATCGATAGTCGTAATTCATGCCTCGCCACTGCCTGGCAACATTATCGAATGGCCAGCAATAGTGACTCACTAAGGTCTGAATTGAAGATTGCAGGGCTCAGATCTGAGCGGAAGTCCAAGATTCAAGATTTTCAACTACCCTTAAAAGCTATCCTAGAAGATGTCAATGTCTGTGAAGTCGCGCTCCCAGTATTTCCCGTTGAACATCCAATCCTCTTGGTTCGTGTATTTGTTCATCTGTTTTTCGAACCATCTGGAATCAATGGAAAATGAAATTAATTAATTATATTTGACAACTACGCGCCGGGCATTGATTTGGACTGCATTTTGCAATTTGGAATTATAAGTTCTGGCTCTTCTGGAAAAACGCTTATGTGCATAGGGAAACTAAGGGCACATACGTTGTTTTTAAACCGGGCTAGAATCTATGGGTCCAAATTGCAAAATGTAGTCCAAGTTTATCACATACATATGGACTGCATTTTGCAATTTTGACCTATAAATTTTGGCTCATCTGAAAAAACACTTATGTGCATAGGGAAACTAATGGCAAGTACGTTGTTTTTAAACGGGCCCGGAATTTGTAGTTCCAAATTGCAAAATGTAGTCCATATGATCTCCTTGATTTATGGTCGCCTAAAAGTATACTCTCATTTCTTCCGGGTTATAAGACATTTCGTCAACGATTTTTTGTCCGCGCACCTGATTTTTCCAGTAATTTACGTCCACGCGTTTTTTCGGCACGAGAGTTTAATACGTTCAATTTCGTATAATACTGTGCAACACCTCTGTTGTGAAATAGTTGCCTCAGGCGCCGCCGCACGGCGGCCAGCGCGAAACGCGCATTGGCGCCTACAAACCTAAGTGGATACTTCAAGCATTGTGCAATGCGTGAAGTATCCACTTAGGTTTGTAGGCGCCAATGAGCCTCTCGCGCTGGCGGCACGCCGCTCCGCTCTGTTCGGCTTTAATATTTATACTCGCATAATCAGCGTTTTTTAACTCATGATTTTGAAATTTTAGCACACTTTGCATTGATTATTCTCATTTAAATTGATGGTAAAAAAAACATGTATGTATCAATTTATCAAAGGAGAATAATAATATAATGTGTGTTTTTTAAATATTGGTGGTTCCGTGTCAAATTTAATGATTTCCAAAGCAATTTAATTTTTTCTTTTACATTTTGTGTTTTTATTGTGCTGCAGCGAGGTGTACGCGCAACGAAACGCTCAAAATTTGACGTATTTGACTTTAAAAGATCAATGCACAAATGGGTTAAAACTAAAGATTGCGTGCTTCTTGGTTTTTTTCCCTCTTTTATTCATTTTTGCAGTTTCTGTCGGCACAACTGCGGCTCATTGAGATTAATGTCGCTTGGAAAAGGTTTTACAAATATTTGTCGCGTTTTAAAAATATAAATTTTTTCAAAATGAAGTAATAATTTCGTGAAGAAAAAATAAAAAAAAGAAAAAAAGTACCGATACATATATCAGGTATATTGTACATACAATATTTTAAGGATAGAAATAAAACCAAATATTCACCAATGACAATTTAAAAAGATGATTCAAAAGGAGAAAGTAATATCATTTCATTTAGAAAATGAGCAACCATAACAACACCTCCTTCTCTCTCAATTTCTCATTTCCATATTGTCAGTATAATTTTACACGCCGACTAAAATATAACGCTTGGACCGAGTCACTGTTGCTTATTTTACGTGTGGGCGTTAACTACAGGACAAAACAGGTGCGCGGACAAAAAATCGTTGACAAAATGTCCTGAAACATTGTCCTGAAATCACTACCGTGCTAAGAAAGAACGCCGTATAAACATTCAAGAGTTGCCAAATTGCCCCATGTGTTTTTGAGAACGATAACGTATTTTTCCTTGAAATTTTCAGATATTGTATACAAAATTGTGAAGAAAATTGTCTGAAAAAATTCAGGATTTTCACAGTAAATTAAGGTTTCATTGAAGGAAATGTGGCAACGTCTGAAGGTTCATACAGCGTTCTTCCTTACCACGGCAGATTTGAACTCATGTTGACATTTTTACACTTGAAGTGGAATTGAGGCAGTTTAGTAGGTACTTAGTCAACTTATTTTTGGGTCCATATTATACCTGGCAGCCTCACAAAGACCAATTTTGATCGATTTAACTCCAATTCGAAATCACTAGCTAGGTGACTATCTATGACCAAACCAATGTCTGTGCATGACCTGACCATTAATATGAATCCTTTGACGCCTTGATGACACTCGTGATGACGTGTTTTGAACTACACGACTCAACTAGGTCAATCACCAGAATGTTTGTCCCGAAAAAGTTATGACCATGTACTGTTGCTGTAACTAATGATGCAAAAAAATAAAAAGTTAATTATGGTACCAGTGATAATAATTCTACACGCTCATCTGATACGTTTACTTACTTCGGTGTCCATTCCTGTCCTTTTTTTGATTTTCTAGTTTTTTTGGCCTCCCGTTGTTTCTCTTCCAGCCGATGTTTCTCAGCTGCTGCGCCATCCAGATCACCTTTCTCTAGTTTCCGTATATCAGGTCTTAACCTGTCAAAACAATGAACATACCCGTGAACATTTTGACTACATTTTGCAATTTGGACCCATAGATTCTAGCCCAGTTAAAAACAACGTATGTGCCATTAGTTTCCCTATGCACATGAGTGTTTTTCCAGAAGAGCCAGAATTTATAATTACAAATTGCAAAATGCAGTCCAAAATTAAACATTAAATGACCACATACCTAGTTAGGCGTTGTGTTGAATGCATGAAAACTATAGATTATATTGTGCGGAGTTAATCGTATGCAATTCTAGATCTCCATAAAAATATGTTCCGACTATCTATAGGAAGGGGGGGGGTATCCATCTAACTTGAAAACCCGCTATCCTGCAAGGAAACTAGAATTCTGAACTCGGAACGGAACCCACTATCCGAGTGAATCATTTCACTTTCGTTCGTACTAAAAAGGTAAAACGTTCCATATTGTATGTATTCCATATGTATTTTGATTCCATAACTTTGACATTTTATGCCCCGTCCTTTCGACCCCGCTTTGTGAAGGGGAATCCGTTTGCCTCAAGGTAATACATGATGAAGAATAATACTGCCGTGCTAAGCGAAAACGCCGTACGAAAATTTGAATATTGCTGAATTTCCCCTGATAAAACATTTATTTTGCCATAATTTCCCTTGAAATTCTCAACTATTTTAAATTAAACTGCGAACAAAATCGTCTGAAAAATTGGACGAGAAATGTTCCTAGCCTTTCCAATAAATTCGTATTTTGTCGAAAGAAATTTGGCAACGACTAAAGGTTCATACGGCATCTCTCCTTAGCACAGCAGAATAGCTTGGAGATTTGGTAAAATAAATTGGAAGAAAAAAGAACCCTAAGGCCTATAAATGAGTTTCTTTTATTTTTTGAACTCAAAATAAATGGGCAATCTGATTGCTAACAATTGAACGGATAGCATAAAGAGGCAGGCCCAAATTAAGTTAAATTCGAGAATCAAAGGTTCAAAACTTTCGAGTTTCGACAGGAGATATTATGCAATTATTAGTTGAGCTTTAAACATCTCTTTGCCCTTAACTCCAAAAATAGGCTGGTTCTGTCATTTTTGACTCGATCCAGAGATGATTCGATGGACGCCATATTTTGTGTCAGAACGGCATGCGATATATCGCATCAATCGGTTCCATTTTTTCAGCTACTCGTCATTTTTCTCCACTTTTGAGATCGCAATTCTGTAGTTAGGAGACTAAAGCACTCACTCACCAATTTTAACAAAGAAATTCAACGTAATAAAGGCGTGGTTTTTTCAGAGAGAAAACATCGCATTCGATACTGGTATCGAAACTGCACTGCACTCGAATGCGATATTTTCTCTCTAAACAAACCACGCCTGTATTACATTGAATTGCTTTGTTAAAATTGGTAAGTGAGTGCTTTAGTCTCCTGACAACAGAATTGCGATCTCAAAATTGGAGAAAAATGACGAGTAGCTGAAAAAATGGAACCAATTGATGCGATATACCGCATGCCGTTCTGACACAAAATATGGCGTCCATCGAATCACCTTAATAATGTGTGGCACAGAAGAAAACATAACCAACCTGCTATCAGTTGGGCAGAGTTTTCCTTCCATACTGGGTTCTATTTCATTCAGCGACATGGTGAATGCGGTAAACTGATAGAACTGAAACAAGAATGCAAGCAACTTATAATGAAAGCAGTCGTTATAATCATTACGGTACCAGGCTGATACCTAAGGTAAGTGTTCATATGGATTGCATTTTGCAAAAAGGAACCAGAAGCATTTCAATGGTGCTAAGATTGTGCGACTTCATCTTTTGCAATTGAATTACTGAAACCATGAAAACATATAAAATTTACATGATAATTTTTGTCTTAAATTTACATTTTTAGCGAGTAAAATAGAAACTGATAATATATAATCAGGTTTTTCCTCCAAAACAAAAGAAGTTGGACAATTTTAGCAACATTGCAATGCTCCTGGTTCTTTTTTGCATAATGCAATCCATATCATCCCGTCCTTTTGTGATGAAGAACATAAAAAGTGCCCTCTTAAAAAATTTGGCACACACATCTCGCATGTTTTAAACAGAGTGAAATCAGGAAAAATATGCTTTAAAATTATTTAAAATCTAGACATTTGGCAGTGTAGTTGACCGCGAACCTCTCCAAAAGAATGACTTCGCACCCTATGGTAGCTTAGAGCGGCACGCATTGCGAGTTCACGCCTAGCGCCATCGCGCCTTCAATTTTGTAAATGCAACATGGACATCCATCAAGCACGAATAGTTGTATCTCTGCGCCGTCTTCAACGCGGGTCCTTTCCCTTGCTCTACTTCCATTCCATGCTGTGCTGAGCGGCCCGAGTATTGAAACTATGTCGGTCTGACACGACAAGACATAGTTCTATCTTAACCATGCAATATATCGCAATTCGATGTATTATCGGGCTGCTTTAAAATTTCAATAATCGGCCCGCTAGTACTGTTCCCATTTGCTTTACTTGTACTGGTGCTTCAAGGGTTCTCAAACCTCTCTCGGTCACAATGGAAACCATCTTGTGCCTATTAGGAGAAGAGCATCTTTAAGGACAGGCTATGAATACGATCTTCAGACATTATTTGCCACTCTGTGAGAGAACTTCATCTATCTATGAAATATTTTTTCAGTCCATAGTTATGCCAAGCTTATTACCTCCGATGTTCTCTCCGGTCGAGGGTTTGCCTCCCACAGCGTTACTGAATTTGGAATGTCTATTGAAAATGTTGAGTCGCTTTTTGGAACATCTTCTGGTCCATCGGAGCTATCTTCATCATCAGGCTGTAAAATAAACATAGGTACATTACAGAAACTAGGAATAAATGTGTAAAAAATACAATGATATGAGAACAAAATAATAGAAAAAAATTAAATTAAACATAATATAATGAAAATGTGAACGCACGAGTCGTTAAGTCATGGTGGAACTGGGCAGACGTAGACATTTCGATTGAAGTGTATTCGATTTTCTGAATTTAGTTTTTTAGTCTCTTTATTTTTTCAGAAGTTGATCACATATTTTAACATGACATTTTCAAAGAATAGAATTACGTTGACAGGGTGAAGAAAAATCACAAAAAATTCCGTGCGATAATTTCCTTATATATTAGATACGATGGAAAACCTGCAACACCGTAAACTGAGGTACGCTTATTTCCAGTTTTACCATCACTTGCATCATTTTGCATGATATGATATTAGTGTATTAAAATATATTTATTAGGATTTAAAAAAAATGCACATTTGTATATTAAATAAGAGAAAATTCGGGCATACCTCATTTGTGGAGATTGACATGGATTTAAAAAGAGACTGTCCCATTTTTAGACTATTTAATTTGGCTAAAACTTTTTTTGGTGTTTGAGCAGGGCTCTCTGATCCAACTGAGTTGTATTTGCTATCCGATGACCTGCAAAAAAAAAAAAAGAATAAAGTCTCAAACATATTCTCTTAGATTGAGCTGAGTGTATATACTTCAATACATAGAACAAAATAAAATACAGATTACAAAAAAGCAATAGTAGTATCCACTCTAGTTTTAAGAATGGAGAAAAAATTGAAAAACTTGTTGATCCTTACCTAAATTTATTGGGGTTTTCTTTCGCATAGTCCTCAAATGAAGAGTAATCTGTGCACCTGATGAACTCTGTCCATTTGCCGTATATGAAGGTTTGTTTGACATTGCTGTAAATGAGATGAAAGAAGCATGAGCATTATATACATAATTTGAAATAGTTCTCTCAAAAGATAAAAGATGGTCACTTTTGTAGTCGTAATAAGTAGCTTTCCAAAAAAAAAGAGAAAAAAAAGAAGAAGAAGAAAACAGGGATATCATTGACTAGTAAGGGAGTTCTGGTCATTAAATTCAAGGATCTCTCAAGAACTTTGGAGAAAATTTACAAGTACTTTCAAGAATGTGCAAGACTATCTCAAAGAACAGGTTTCAGCTCCTTCATTACGGCTGGCTTCAACCTAAAGTTTTTTTTTGTTTTTTTTTTGTTTTTTTTTTTTAATTTATTTATTTTTTTTATTTAGGGGTAATTTTAAAGAAATCCTCGGGCACTGTCACGCCATTTGTGACGGTTGTCGCTTCATTGACTTTCTGATACCTGCTCAGAGTATCCACTTAAGAGAAGCTGGACATACTAACGCTACTCAAACAAAAATTTAATTCGCTCAAACCTAGTCCATAGCAGGATCATTTACTGAGATATACTCTACATCCTCATGTAGTTCAAATACATGCACAAAGTACAAGAAAAAGATGAAGGAAGAAATAAAAACATACTCTTTGTCCTGGATGAATCCTTCAACACGATGAATATCTTTGGACGCTCCACCAGTGGAGGGTTTGAAAGTCAATGTGGATGTGTGACCTAAAATAATAAAATTCATTGCATAGATAAGTACTGGACGTACGTATTATATACGAATATTATAATTTAATTCGCATTCATCGTTGGTCCACCATTGTGAACATTATCTTGATTTAAAGGAGAACGCATTAAAAGTCTGAAAATTATATTGAGTCGTATGGCTCAAGAAAGTTTCAGCTGTTATTATAGAGCTGGAAATTGAATTTTCGACGCCAATGGTTTTCGCAAATTTCAATCGAAAACGAATTTTGAAAATCATCTATACCCCAATTTGTTTCCGGAATGTCACTCACCAAATCGATTCAATAGAGGATCCTTTTGCTTCATCCACCAAAAGGTACTCTTATGATGCACCCCCCCCCCCCCCCCCCCCNTAATGAGGAGGTTTGCCAACCAAGAGAGCATTTAAATTCCAGACGATGCTGAAAGCAGTCATCTATGTGAATAACTACCTCTAATTTAAAAATTATAAGGTTGACAAAATGAGCGCCCACGATTAGCAATAGTAAGCTATGATTAGATTCCCTATCCATTTACTTAAATCAATAAATTTGATCAAATTCCTCTCCAATTGGCAACGTAGGCACATTGAGCTCTCGCGAGCAGCGGTTGAGGTATCAAAATGACGAAGAATAATAGGGATGAGAGCATACTCTGTGAAATAAATTCAATTTTTTCTGATTTTAGAATCTATAATTTCATAATGTACTTATTAAATTAGTGCGTTTTGTTCGAGTCGCTAAATGTTCCTCGCCGCAAGTCAGCGTTATTTACCGGACTTCTGTTCTATGGTCAGCCCCGGTGCCCCAAAAACCTCTAGATAAGAGCACTGGCAACCTCTCCGACGACGTGAATCAATGTAAGACATAGGTTAACAAGAACCTCATATGGTCGCGAAAATACGATCTTTTCCATCAGGTGAACGATCTCTATGTTTCAATTGAATAAGTAACCAACCCTGATTATTAGTCTTATTGGAAATCTTATTCCTTGTCAAGACGGCTCCATGGAGGCCCATAAGATAAACGTGGGACTCCATGGAGAGCCATGGGGATCTCACATCCTCAACCATGACAATTTTATGGGGAATGTCATGGAGACGCCCTGGAACCTATGGGTTCCAATGGGGTGAATGAAGAGACTGATAACAGAAACCCATGGAGCAGCCAGAGTGACCTAAAAGGACCATTAGAGTTCTCAAGTGGTTCCCTCGGTGTTCCCATGGGAACCCGTGCAATGCTTCCATGGGACCGTTTTGACAGGATGGGCAATAGCTGAGCTACTAAAATCTGAAAAAAGAGGAGGATTATTAATTTCTCACCAGTTTTATGATTCCTAATTTCCATTGTTCCATATTGTTCGATCCATAATTTCCCAACAATTAAATTGTGCACACAGCAGTTAACATTGGACCATGTGTAAGCCTCGCCCCATCTAGAAAATACCAGGAAAAAGAATTAAATAACAGTCTCGTCAGGTGCAAAATAACTCACAAAAATCATACTTCTATAATGTAAAATCATAAAAGTACCGCGTAACGCATGAGATACAAGGGGAGGTTGGGCCCGAAGCGTTCAGGGGGCGCACCACTGAAACTAAAATCAGCAAAACCCCGCAACAACAGCGAATTTTTAGGATAAAAATCGCAAAAACATATTCCAGTAAAAAATGGAATCGTTTGAGTCAATTTTGCATCCCGAGGAATGGAATGGCGTCCATTCGTCCAGGAAAAGACTAACTGTAGTGAACTATACTGCCGTGCTAAGGAAAAACGCCGTATGAGCCTCCAGGCGTTGCCAAATTTCCTTCGATAACACGAATATCCCAGTGAACTTATGAATATTTTCTTTCCAATTTTTCAGATACTTTTCCTCACAATTTCAACTAAGTAAAGTTCCTGAAAATTTCAAGAAAATAACTTTCCTAAAAAAAGAACATTTTTTTCGAAGGAAATTTGGCAACTCTCGAATGTTCATACGGCGTTTTTCCTTAGCACGGCAGTGTTTGAAGTTTCGAAACTACATGGATCCTTAAGCTGACTTTTTGATGCTTAAAAAATGGGATTCGGAAGCGAATTTTTCACAGAATAAGGATCAAAACTTATTTAACTTCAAATCATTAATTACTCAATTTTTTCAAAAACTGCACTTATGCGCCTTGTCCTCCAAGTCCCTAAAATCTGGTTACCGCAATTTTGCGTCATCAATTTGAAGCATCATAATAATCTTTAATTTACATTTACTTTATTACCTGGTTAGCTCGACCGTCACAGTCCCTTTTGGCTGAATTTCAACACTCTTCCCCCAAAACTTGAGTTTGGGATAAATGGATCCGTAGAAAATGAAGTGCTCGCTCTCGGCATGAAACGCCGAAACCGGGGGATGATGACTAACTTGCTCACAAACAACCCTGGAACAAAGAGAAAGTCATGACAAATAGGTAATGGATTCTTTTATTTCAACTTGGAGTTTTAATTTTAAAATTTGTTCATCTCCTCTAGCATCTGCCAAGGGGATGGATCGTGCTCGATAATGGTTCAATGTATCGTTTGGTTCAAAACAATAGAACATAACCTCAAACAAAAATTTTAGGATTTAAGTTGGAAAAGCTGAAAAAGAGAGAATTCCTAACAATTTCACTTTTCAATGCCATGTGGTACTCTTAAGAATCAAAAATCTATCACTAAAGCCCCGTTCCCAGATTACTCAATTGGCTGTTACGACTATGTTTACATGTTGAACCAATCGATATCGATACAATCTCACCTGTTTGATTCATCGGATTCGATCCTGAACGGCCTGCTAAGAGAGAGGACGGACGCCGAACGGCGCGTAAAACACATTTCATCCAAAAAATGTCATTTAGGGTGTGAGAAACTTTGTAAGTCTTTTAATGATTTTTTCTCATGCTTTCGTCCTTCCAGGGCCTCCCCCCCCCTCCTCCTCCCAGAAAAAATAATAAATAAATAGAATAAAATAAAACTGCAAAATATGATTATTCTACTCTTAAACCCAGGCGGCAGTCAAAGAAGGTGCTAAAAGGCAAAAAGTTCTTTTAATCGGTAGCACTAAGTGTGATTCACATCAGTGGCGAGGCGTGAATGATCGATTATCGATATTTCCCCATTAGAAGCTATGGTAAAGAATCGATTATTAAGGTGCTCGTTGCGAACACCCTGTCTAATCGATCGTTTTCTATAGGATTCAATGGCAGATTAATCGATGTATCGCAAAGCACGCCACGCCACTGATTCACATGCGATTTGGCACCGGTCGCGCCTCCGCGTGATTGACCGCAAGTTTAAAAGTGGCGGGTGATTTTTGTAATTCGCGGTGTTAATTCTGGCGGGAAAAGCAAACTTGCCTCTAATTGGCTAAGAATTCCCGCCTTTCACTGCAATTGGTTGATTGAACAATGCTAAACGTGACGTAGTCCACTACTAATCTCACGATTTTCCTCCATCTGATTGGTCCATTTCACTGACGTAATAAGATGGCTACTCAAAAAATAAAGTTGACAACCTGTTTGTTTCGCTATGAAGCCGAATTCAAATTCAAACAATAACAAATAGTTTCAATTTAGTTTCAGTTGGTTTCTACTTCAGCAAATAATTTTATCTTTCAGTTCTGTATGTTTTGCAAGTGAACAAACGGTTGCTCTTATGTAATTTTCGTACGTTTAATTATCCAGTGTCTTCGAATATCTTCGCATCAGGTTCAAATTAGGTAATATATTCCGTTGCCGCTACCTACATGTTCATGTTTTGATTTTCTCCCTGGCGTATTATTCCTAATATTATTCCTTGGCCTCACGTTGTTTCTTTTTGCCTGACAAAGGAGTTCTGGAAACCCTCAAGTCTGATGTGTGGCCGCCTTGTCAGATTATCAGTTCTCTGCAGCCACTGAGACAAGTATCGACGGTGAAACTACCAGACCACGTATCTCGGTTTGCGACGTTGTAGACTTCCTGTCATCCTTTATTTTTTAATGGAAAACTACTAAATGTACATTCTTGAAAACATCCATGATTTTTCTTCTCTGCTGAAAGAGAAATCTGCGAAAATTTCAAGGAATGATTTTATTTGATCTGTTTAAAAAAATAAAATAGGAGCGGAGATTTTTACACATCGCAAATGAGGTACGTGGTCTGGTTGTTCCACCATCGGTATGTTTTCACCGAGCGATCCACCATTAGAACAAGATGGATCTGTGACCCACCGTTTGAAGATGCAATTTTTATGCATATCTAGGAATGTTCTCAGTCTGTAGCGACCATTTCCCTGCAAGATGGGAACCTGTCCAATACATCCCAGGGATCCAATCAGCTCTCACTTTTTTCCCATCACAAACATATTCTAAAGTGTTAACTCACATGAAAGTGGTCTGTGCTGAAACGAAGTAACTTCTTCATTCAAGAAATTAGGTGAATATCTATGTGTGAGTTCTCTCTTTTAAATCTGGCTTGAATGAGAGCACCCCTAATCAAAACTGTTCACAAACTAAAGTATTTGGCAGGGGCTTAATTTTGTTTCCATTTGATGTGATGTTCGATACAACCTTTTGAGCGTGACAAGCTTTAATAATAGAAAATAAAACTTCCGGCGGGAATTTGCAGAGGACTTGACATCAGATAATGTCAAATTTAATGTTTAATGTGTGACCTCCTTTGGAGGAAAGTAACTCTAAACTGTTTATGTTGGTAAGTTATTAATGAAAGAACTTGAATGTCCATCCAGTGATTCAGTTCCTCACTCCTATCAAAAATGACAGCAATGGACGAGAAAACCTTACTGGCCACAATTCAGGATTTTTTCCCGGAGTTGCGCATCATGCCCCAGGACCTGAAGAATCCCAATCCTGAATTTGTCATCAAGTTTTACAATCGAGTTCTCATGGAAATGGAGGTTGATCTCACAAATCTACAAGCGGTCGGTATCTCAATTCCCTTTTTTCACAAAATTAGTTTCATTATTACAGCATTGGCTCACAATTCAATGTGACCTGAAGTTCTTCTGTCTCTCCATCTGGGATCATTAACATATGCATATAGAGTACATAGAGTCGTAATGTGAATGGGAGAGCTGGGACCATGTCCTGGACGACGAGTTTGGAGTCCGGTGTGCACCGAGCTAAGGTCACTTTTTTGATACTTGTTAGATCTAAAATGGCGGCTTGGAATACATAGTAATTCCTATCCTCTTTGTTTTCATCGGATAGCCGGGGCCCCGTGAATCGCAAACAATCGATTATGAATCGAAAAAGTGACCTAGCGCTGCACAGGAGTCATAGAATTCGGGACCTAGAAAATGCTTAAAAGTGGTCCCAGCTCTCCCAATCACATTACGACTCTATGTACTCTATGCATATGCAGCATAAATAAATATTGGTTGTGTCTAGAAATATGACACATATTACTCTCCCGTAAGAAATGGAATTTTTCATTTTTAGTTAAGGTCAGATTTTGAACCCAGTAGGTAATTCATGAAAAAGTTCAGGATTATCTGTTGCAACACCTGTTGGCGAAAGTTCCTTTGTTTTTCATTCAAGCCATAATTGCACCTGCGTCTAAATTTTCAAACACCAGTGCTGAAAGAATGCAAATTCTAGGTTGTGTCTTTTTTTCCTATAAAGGAAAAATATTAAGTAGTTTCAAAATTTGCGCTCAATTGATCAATTCATAAAGAGTATCTCATAGGTTGGCTGTTTATTATGTTAGTCCTGAGGAGATGACGGTAAATTTATACTTCCAAGACCAATTTATTATCCCATTTGTTCTCCAAAATGTTGGATTGGATAGTTAATTTCTCATTACATTAAAAAATTTGCACGGAGTTCACCTACATAATCATAGAAGGAAATTAATGGCCCCTTGTAAATGTCTGCATGTTCCTACAAATCCCTAAGACCATGCTCTTCATGTTGTGCCATTACGTAGAGAAAGGCACAAATTATTTACCCAGCTTTGTGTAAAAAATATCCTCTATGTCTAATTGATCCAAGAGCTCCATAATCGTTCCTAAGTGTGAAGATTTCCCTCCGGGAATCTCTTTTGGTGACCGTGCAAATGTACTCAACAAAGAAAACTACTGTTATATTAAGTAGCATTATTTTTAAAGATTCTTTTCCAATAACAGATAATAAATATGTAACGATCTAAATTGCAACCTTTTGGGTGTTTTAACTCAAAGATTCACTTTTCGAATTATTGTGTATCTCCGAAGTGGGCTCACTTACTGATTTATTTTCTCTTTTTCAGGCTCAACCCAATCAAATGGAAAAAATATCCAATTTGGAAATGTATCAAGATATCATACCATCCTTGAATTTGAGTAAAGGAATTCAGTATATATTCTCACAGATAGGGCTCGGCCGATTGAAGTTCGGACTCTCAGATCTGCTAGCTCCTAGTGAGTACTAAGTTTTTAATTTCACAATACTGAAATGACAAGTATTGGTCAGAAAGGAGTCAAGTAGCTTTTCTCATAAATCTGAGACACCATTCATTTTGAGTAAAGCTTTTCTCAGTCCATACCTCATGAAAAAATTAATTTTTTGGTATTTAAGTTTAAAACTTGTCTAAGTTTTAAGATTCCATCTAATATTTCATCTTAACAGAAGATTTTCTAAATATTATAAAATCATCTCTTATCCTCTTCAACTGCGGGAGAGGCATTCACTAAAGTTCATCTACTTTCATACTGCTATGATCAACTTTCTTTATCAGTATTTTAGCATTGAAAATAAATATAAGGATTAAGGTGCTAGATCTTCCGTTTTACACTAAAGCTCTGTCCATGGAGCAACATCATGCTCAAAAATTGACGTAGCTTGTGCAAATTTATGTGACTCACCTAATTTTATTGTAACAGGTATCCTGGTAATATCAGAATTATAAAGAAGTTTTCAGTTCGTTTCATTTTCGTTTAAAGAGATTCAAAATTGTTTGAAGAATAATGAAAAGGATTGTTTGTAAATAGGGTAACTTAGTGCTTATTTTTATGATTTTTCAGCTCCCAAGCGAAATATGATGCTCATGTCAAACCTCATGAATTTTGTCTTGTTCTGCGATACCCGGGCAGCAGAATTCGATCCTAAATTCAAAGAATATACTTCATTCAAAGTCAAATTCCAAGAACTAGTGAAGCAACGAGATGAATTAAAGAGAAAAATCAACCAACAAGCCACGGAAAGAGTTCATAGAAATCAAGTTAAAGAAGAGGTAAATTTTAAGCTTTCCATATCCAAACACTTTATCACAATCAACTAATTTTTCAATGAACGATACAAATTATTGTTGCTGTAAATCTGTTTACTTATGTGGTTGAAAATTCAATGAGAGAGAAAGAATCCGATCAGCTATCAATAAACCTCCAGAACTTTAACAGGAGCCAGCAGTCAATGTACACAAAAGATTCAATCAGGCAGCCTTAATAAAAGTGAACCCCTTATTAAATTCTCAAAAACTGCTGCCAAATCAAATATTAGTAGATTGAAACCTCATTTCTCATGAAATTGGCAAAAGTAGTTTGGGAATTCTATCTGTCAATTTCTGTTGTGCACTCTATGAATTGATGTGCCTTAGTTTTTATTCCTTAGCATTTTGTCACTATCAATTCATTTAGGTATCAAGTGTGAACAAAATCTATAGATGCAGCATTAATTTTCCCAAGTGATGCTAGTTGAGCCTGATGGTGCTGCTTCATATGTAATGGAGGCATATGGTACCTTTCTTAGCTAAGCCTGTGTCAACTGGTGACTAATAAATAAATTTTCTTATCCAGCTTCTGGCTCAAAAAGATGCACTCGAAACAGCACTTCAAGAAATGACAGCAGAGTACGAAGAATCGAAAGCTCATCAGAAGCAAATAAAGATGCAATTGAAAACTGAGGAGCAAGGATTAGAAAAAGCAACCTATCAAGTCAAAAATGTGAGTATTGTTCTATTTTATCGGAAAAATTATATGAAAAAGGAAGGAAACCATGTTTTGAGAGGACGCGGGGTGTCCCAGACCAGTCCCTTGACTCAAATTAACTATCTTTAAAACTTTCCCCAACATGCCGGTCCTTGGGACCGATATTCTCTTGTTATTCCATGCAAAAATCATTAGTGACCATATTATTTGTGACCATTCATTGTTGAATGTTTCCATAGCACTACTAAGCTGTGAGAGAGCCTCCTATATTTCGGTGAAGCAGGAAAATATTGGGGAAGTATGCATTGTAAACACACTAAAGGTGTAACGCCAATGGCGATCTCCACTTAAAGCAGAGAGGAAAAATCTCGGAAGTTTTCAAGAAATAATGGTAAGAAGTATTCAGCGTAGAAAATAAAGTATGATTGGAAATTTGCAATGCTCCCAACTGATACAACAATTTCTGCAGTTTCACCATTATGACACTCTTCGATGTAGTGGCGCTAATATTTCAATTTTGAATTTCCCTCAATTATGAGTTCCCACGATTAGTGAAATTTTAAAGTCAGGAAGGAATGAAACCAGATGAAAAATTGCTTACTTTGATAGAGTAAAGCAGCAATGGAAAAAATCAACTCTGTGTGGTGAAACAGAGTCTTGAACAACTCTTTTCTTTTGAAAATCTCCTATTTTCTTGTAATGTTTCAAATTATTTATATTTCAAAGGCATTACTTCCTCTTGTCCCCCTAGCTTACAAGCATCCTTCACTTTGCAAGAAATGTGCCGATTTCATGCTGAAACAGTAGGCTTTCTCATTTTCAAAATCCCATGCTTTCCATTCTCTTAATCCTCTCTTGCAGCCCTACTATTTCTTTCGAAATGTTTTTGCTCCCAAGTGGTAAGTTCTTAATTAATGTCTGCTAAATTTTATATAATTTCAGCTGGAACAAGAGTTGGTGTCCCTGCGAGAGCAGATTGTAAGTTCACCGGAGGAATTCCAAGACCAATACGATAAATTGAGGGAGCAAAGGAATGAGGCTAAAGAGAAAGTAGACAACTTACTCTGCCAAATTGAACCAAAGAAAGAAACCTATGAGAAACTAAGCAGTCAAATGGAATCTCAAGAAATTCGGTTGGCCATACTGAATGAAATCGTCAGCTTGAACCAGACTCTACAGTAAGAATTTTTTTACAGTTCTGGAGAATTTTAGTCAATACAAGATAAATGGAAAAATTAGCATGCTAAATTGAACAGCTACCTTTTAATTGAATCAGCCAGTATGGAAGATTATAGTAAATATTTTACTTCTCAGATCTATTGCAATTCTAATGAAAGAGATGGGCCTGGCATAATGGAGGAAGATGATCATGTGCATTTGTCAAGAAACTCAATTTTTTAAAGAAGGGTACTTTTTGTGTGTATTTTTAGTTCAAAACAATTAAGGAAACTTTTTTACCCCTAAATTATATTATTACATTTGGAAAGACGGAAAGTGGTATATCACTATCTATGAACGGTTTTCAATGGAAATTTGATATCATCACCTTTTGAAGTCAACAACCAAAATTTCAGCAAAGCTTATATCAGATAAGTTCTACCTTATTAACTTTCTCTACGTTTTTTCATCAATTTCATCATCAATAGTTATGCATTTGTTAACATTTTTTTCTTCAGGGGCTTAAAATCTGAAATAGGTATCTTGACCAAAGAAAAATCCTCAGCAGAAGAAGGAGCGGAAAGCGCTCACGAAAAACTCAAAAGCTATCAAGAACGATTGGATCAAAAGCAAGAGAATCTGGCTAAGCTTCAAGCACAATGGAATCAACAGCGCTGTATTTTGAATGTCAATCATGAAACCCTCCAAAAGTGAGTTTGCTCTTTCTAATTCTGTTATTTGTATTTTTCAACATTATTGAGGGGTTTCCCCTGTCTACCCGTTCAATTTTATTGAGGGATATTTTCTGTTTCGGAGCTGAATGTTATTGAGGGGTATTTTCTACCTATTAACCTGAGTATTAGGATGGACACAAAGCCCAAAGACGTGGTCAGCATGTCCTCTACTCATAAAAAAGAAAATGTATTCATGTAATGTTTTGCCATAAAATATTTCTTCTCACTCAAACTTCCTCAGTCGACTAAAACAAGTGAAACTCAGATGTCAAATACCTACTTTTGTGTGAAAAAGTTCAGCATGAAAAGAGATGATTCGCATAGTTTAAGTCAACTGATGATTACTGTTTTCGTTGCTGTCATGTTAAGTAATGGCTCAGTTGCACTACTCATTGAATCTTATTGTGATGGTAAAAACCTCCAAATGAGAAACAAGGGAAGCAAGAAAGTAAAAATCATACAATCTTTCTGAAAGCAACGTATCCACATCCAGTATTACAGAGATGTTGTTCATAGAAAATTTCAGTCACCAGTATCATCCGCCACAGAAATGCATGCCTCGGTTTTATTAATGATGCACAAAGGCAATCCAGAAAAGGTGTATCACTGATCTTTAAAATCTGTGTGGAAGACACCATAGTTTACCTTATTTCTTTGGATAAAGTCATTCATAGAAGTTCTTGCACAATGATATCCCCATTCTTGTTGGACATGGTAATACAACTATTAGACAGCTCCTAATATTTTTTATTAATTCGTAGGATTCAATCATCAATACAAGACTCAGTGCAACTGACCCATTATTCTAGCAGGAGTTTGACGTTATTTATTGTTCAAATCAACAAAATTTAAAGGTCCATGTTGCTATTAAGTAATTATTTTTGACTTTCATGTTTGCAGAGAACTAGAAGACGTAGAGGAGAAGTTTGAAAAAACAGCTGCAGAAGAGAAAGATTTAAGGCAAGAAATCAATTATGCTGTAGATGGTATCAAAGAATTGGAAATTAAGTTCAATGATTGCGTTGCAACACAAACGTTGTTGAGGAGTCTATGGAAGGAAACTCAAGTAAGTAAGATAGGAAATTAGACAAGTTCTCCCAACAGAAAATCCATCACAGGTTTGCATTAAACCGTCCTTGCTGTTGGGAAGTATTGATGATCAAACCATGATGCAGATCGCTGTATCAAAAACAGAAACGAACTCCTGGGCAATGGACATTGATGCTTTGCTTGCTGTTTTGCGTTGATCCCGTAAGAAATGGTTTTATCTTATGATGAGGATAAATCTCTAATTCTAGCATAGTTTTCTCTCAAGCAAAGATGAGCCGAGACCAATTAAAAACATGATAATTTACGTTTCTTCAACATATGAATGTTTGGTATTATACCCCAAATTCACACCTTGTTTTGTCTCGTAAGAATGTCAGATTTCATCACTCAACACGCAATGTGCTGCTTGAAATGTTTTGTTAAACTCCACTGCAGCACTGCAGGTGCTTTGATCCCTCTCCTTAGATGTCTATTGTACTCTGTCTCCTTAAAAGTGGCATGAAAGCTCATCTTAAACCTTTAAACTTCACGGGGTTTCGTTTAATGCTGTGCGGCAGCTTAATGAGGTAACAGGTACTCAATTTTAATTGAGGCGCCCAATTAATACTAATAACAAGTATAAGTATTGTATGTTAGAAGTATATAGCAAGCAAGTAACTTTGCTGTAGGTTCAAGATGTCAGCGAAAAAATAGTAAGTGTCAACTTAATTATTAATTCCTCTTTTTCTTTATTATGGTAACAGTGTAATTATCATCTTATTCTTTTTGGTTTTCACAGGATAATGTCATCGAGAATTATCAGTGCAGACATACAGATTTAGAGAAGCTAGTAAGAAAACTGACTTAGATCAAACTTTGGCCATTTTCTGCGTTCTAAAGTGGTGAGAAAAGTTATTCTGCCTCTGGTATGTTTTCAATCGATAAATATTTTAATTTAATAATATAATATATATACTGTTTCTTTTGTAATTTTCATGAAATGAGTATTTAATAAATAATGTACATAGTAAATGAAATTCCATTTTCTTCATTCGCAGTTAAGTAACAATCTTAAAATCCACGCGGTTTTAAAACATCAAGGTATTTTTTTTCCCTTTGTCTTTTTGACACTGTAAATTATGGAGGTGTTAAAAAATTTGGTCAGTCCACTCACTTGAAACCGTCTCTTTGAAGCTCATAAGTCTCCCCCAGTAGTGGGTTGAAAGGTTTTCCAGGTCGCTCCCAGTTAGATGACAGAGCGCTAACGGCAAAAGCTGACATGTACTAGAAAAAACCAAACAAAGTTATAGAGATTATGCAACCGTTCATTAGTAATTGAACGCACTTAAATACCCTCTATTTTACGACTTTATTTTCAGTCACCGGAAATAAAGTGTTTTAAAAAGTTGCCAAAGAATCACTCTTTTTTTTCTTTTTAAGAAAGATAATTCAGTCCAAGCAATTTGAACTTACGTTAAACATTTTCAGTGTTTGATGGAGGCAAGTAACTTTTTTCAAGAAAGCACAAAGGAAAAACAAGTTTCAAGTTACATTGCCTCTTAAAAGTTTCAATGGATATCCCGCAACTGAAATTCAATTTTTCTTAAGGTGGCTCTTCAGCACTTCAGAGAACAATTCAACAGTCGATCAATAAATTGATAATTTCTGGATTTCAGGACATTTCTCAATAATTTCTGAGCATCTTATGAGGTATCTCAAGTATTTGTACACAAAATTTGACCAAGAAACATTTTGAAGTAACTGCAAAACCACATTCGGATCGAATATCGCAAATTAAGAGGCAAAACAATTTGTGATATTCACTCAAGACATACTTTCTAAATGATTTCGAAGTTTTCCTCGATCAAATTTTTTGTACAAATATCTGAGATACCACAGTGTATAAGATGCTTAGAAATCCTGAGAAAAATCCTAAAATCTAGAAATCATTTATTGATCGATTGACTGCCATATCGTTCTTAAAAGCACTGCAGAACCACCTTAAGCAAGCTTTGAAACTAATCTCTGAAAGTAAGTTTGCTCAAAATCACAAAAACCTTGGCTTTTTAAAAATTGCTTTGTTTTCATTTTGTCCACTGGAGCTTTCATTCGTATAACATTCACTATTGATTTAATTAGCATCTCATCAATCACAGTTTTCTCCTTTTTTCCCCTGATTATTGTATAAATATAGGATATATCTCTAGGAAACTGTAAAAAACTGGAACTGACCATAAGTTATCACATACAGGGTGTCCGAAAGCATCCGTACCAGACTTTTTTCTCGGTTGCGTTAGGTCACACGAAGTCAGGGACTGTGGGATTGAAAGAGGAATCAACCTGAAGGAATCTGAATTTCATTGTCACAAATTCCGCCTAGCCTCCCTTGGGGGGTAAAAGGGGATTAAATATTGACACAATATCCCAATTCAGTGATTGACTGTTCAAGTGTATCGTTACATCATATGGCTCACCTGCATTCGTATGAGAGGATCGGTTTCCTGTGCAGCTTTGACAAGAAGGTTTGAGTACTCCATGTACTCAACCATTCGTTGAAGGAAGCTAAGAGGTTCATTGAAAATGACTGGCATTGTGACAGAACTCAATTCCTTTCCACAAGAACGTTTTACCATAGACCAGACATTCAACTCCTCTCTCTTTGCCATACTAGCAGGCAACTTGTTCCTGAAAAAAATTACACAACTTTAAACCTCAGATCATTTTTCCTGCAAAGAATGCAGCTGTAATATAGGTTCTGCACAGAAAAATACAATCCCTTTGCTGTTCTTGAGTTATATATCAGGAGTTAGCAAACATCGAGAAATCAAACACATTTTGGTAAAATACTTTTTTTTATATATTTGGCAAAAAAAAAAAACAGATCGATGACGCTTAGGGGCACACTTCAGCTGTTTCTCCTCAAAGGATCCATTTTGTAAACCCTTAAATGCAGCTAAAAGGAGGTAGACATGCTATCAACTGTTCGATTTGACTAACTGAATGCAATTTTTTGTTTTTGCATCTTTCAGCTTTATTCTCAGGTTTAAAAATGGATTCTTTGGAAGAAAACAGTTGGAGTGTGAGTTCAGGTGTAATAAATCCGTTTTTTACCAAAAAATGAAAGTGAAACCGGTAATTTAGCAAAATTTGTTCAAAATTCCAATGTTTGTCTACTTTCGTTGGGGAGCCGTCCTTATGACAGTGAATAACTGAGACCTGGAAATTCCAGTCATTTTTTAAGTGGATTGATTTGAAGCAAGTTCAAAAGTTTTTTGTAGTCTTTCAAAGTCTGATGTAGGGTGTCTAACGACTAAGAAAGCCAGGGAGATTAAATTGGTCAATGAGAGGAGACGAGTAACAGGGAGAGTTGCAGAGGCCCTTGCAGGATAGTGTATTTTGCATAACTTCACGGCGATTCGATACAGAGCGCTCTCCTGCAGGCTGATTATTGAAATTGATAGACAAAGCGATAGACAAAGAAGAAGCGATCCGATTGGTTGAATCTGGTGGTTCTTACAAACTGAAGGGGAAAACAATAGACCAACTGAAGGGTCTCCTGTCCGTTGCCGGTAGTTAGTCTATTACCTTTCTCCTTTGTCCGTTGCAACTACCCACCAATAGGATCCCTCCAAATCCCTTTTGTCTTCTTTGTCTATCTTTTTTGTCTACCGATTTCAAGAATCAGCCTGCACTGGAAGCCATCCGATCGAATATTCCCGTCGATTCTAATTAGAATCCCTCCAAATCCCTTCTGTCTTCTTTGTCTAAAGCTTTGTCTATAAATTTCAATAATCGGCCTGCTGGTCTGTGTTCATCACAAACTGTAATCCGACTGGTATTTACCCACTCAAGGAATGCCTCTCGCCCGATCCGAAATTCTGAGCTTGTAAGAATCAATTCCAGTAGCACAATTGAACGTATTTCTGCTAAACAGAACTATGTGAATTATGACGTGAACCCTATTGTGCATGTATTCTTATGGGTCTCAAGGTTCATGTCTTAATGCACATAGTTCTGTTCGGCAGAAATACGTCCAATTGACAAAGACATCGGAATGGAAACATGCACGTTTGGCCCTCACCGTCACCGGACATTTTTACGGTCTTTTTTCGTGCAGTACTCGGCAATCGCGTGCGCTCGAGCGGATTTTTGCCGCACAGTGGATCGAGTCAACAGGAGAAGTCGGACATAATTTGGAAACTTTAAAATGCTAACAACTCTGTTCATACATTACTTTGAAGTTCTAAAAGGGGTTTCATTGGTTTCCTCGTGAAATTTTCTTCTAGAAGAACCCCTTGAAATTTGAAATGTGACGAATTAAACATCAAAATTTGCAGTTTCAGTTAAACATTTCTTGATCGACCTCTCTGATTAACTCGATCCACTGTGCGCCGCTTGAACTGGTAGCGCGGTGTGCTTTGCGATGAATCGATTAATCCGTCATTTGAACCCACGGACAAGGATCGATTATCAAGAAATTTGCAATGAATACACAGCCAATCGATCCTTTACCACTGCTTCAGGTGGGAAAATATTCGTAGTCGATGATTTGCACTTCACCGCTGATTTTGAACATTCAGACGTTGCTTAATTTCTTCTAATAAAACACAAAAATCCTAGAGAAATTTCCCCGACTTTTGACTAAATTTATTTTCATTTTTCAGGGAGTGTCTTCTCCATTTCATTCTAATTTACCTGAAAATTTCCAGGCAATCTATCCGTAACTTCCTTCAAAAATAAATAGTTAATAAAAAGAAAGGCAATGTTTGAAGGTTTACACGTTTCTTCTTCTTCGTTTTATTTTCAATCTTCAGGGAATGTGCTCCTCGTGTTATTCAAATTTACCTGACAATTCCCAGATTATCTATCTGTAACTTCCTTAAAAAAGAAATATTTTATCAAAAGAAATTTGGCAATGTCTGAAGGTTCATACGGCACTTTTTCATAGCATCGCGGCAAAATGGTGTGTTCAAGGATGAGGAGGGGGAGAGGGGCTCAGTAGGGCACAGAGAGGAGACATGGTGGACGGAGATCTTTCGATCTTCAGCTTGTTATGGTGAGACGTAGCACATCGGTTTCATAGTTAAAAACTGAAATTCATTTCCACGATGGACCAGGATGGAGAGAAAAAGGGAGGTAAAAAAGTGATATCTATAAAGCAGAAAATGTCAGGGGTTGAAAATGAGACTCTAACACTGCAACTCACCTGAAAGTATGATCAATTTTGATCTCTGAGCCCATCTCCCAGGCGCTGGTTTTGATACAAAGTGGGCTGGAATTACAGACATCTGAATGTTTCTGTCATCAGTGCAACACTCAGGTCCCAAACTAAATTCAAAAACAGATAAAATACAAAAATTACATATTAGGTACTCAAGAGTCATGGACGTAGATAAAAGTTGTAGGTTCTAAAGGAAGCACACTTATCGTGATGAAGTTTGCTCAATAGATATGCTCCCCTCGGGATTTAAGGAGAAAGAGGATTTAGCAGTGGTCTCTTCAAAGAGTCCGTGTTTTATATCTTTGAATCTTTTGACGGATTTACAATGAATTGAAACTCAGAGCAGCCCTTTTCTTGTCTCTAACTCTGTTCATTTTATTTATACTATCCCTTGTATTTATACTATCCCTTGTATTACTCACTACTATAACTAGTTAGATTTACCAAAATCAGTTCGTCTGCATTTCCCGGGGGCAAATCCACTCTCGTATCTTTCCTTTTTGAAATTACACAAACCGCATTTTTTTTAAAAAAAAATTAAGAGTCAAATTAGCTTATAATTTTGTTAGTACGTGTTATGTGTCCAAAGCTGCATGTTACTTGGTTTCGTGTTGGGAAAAAAAATATGAATAAATAAAAACATAAGAGAACATTTTGCAGTGCAAAATGCAGTTAAATCTATTTCGCTGAGAACTGGAAAACCAATTGATTATTTTTTTTCAAAATAATTTATTTCACAGACGCAGGCGGTGCAATTTTCTGACTTGCAACTCCTCATCAATAGGGAGCATAAAGTCGTCACGCATTTTGTAGAAATAAAAAAGAAAGAAAAAAACCCTTATCTTCTCTTGCGATCTTTTTTTGTGGATGATTGGGGAATGGGCATGGGCACTTGTGAGTGAGCGGAGGGCCGCGCGCCTTCATATTTTAGATATGCAACATACACGACGCACGTCCGTGAAATAGGAATAGTCGTATCCGTGCGCCGTCGTCAAGAGTCGCGCTTAGAAACGTATTCTTTATCGTAGGAAATTTGGCAACGTTTATATGCGTTCATCCTTAAGGATCGCGAGCGGTGGTTCTTTTGTCGAGACTCTACCTCAGAGCTCCATTTCCTGTTTCCGTCTCTCTTACTTGGAGATTCGTTAATTAAGTAAGTACTATATTAATTAAGACTTGAATTTGAGTAACTTATCACTCCTCCTGTCAGATAAATATCAGGGTTGGAAAACAGGGAAAAGTTAGGGGTACGGACGAAAAGTGTTGCTCGAAATGTCAAAGAGCTTCATTAAAAAAATACTGGAAAGTTTCTCGCTTGCTCTGTTTGTCTCTTTCTTTAAATTTTGGACGGCTGCGGCCGTTAGATTTCAGGTCTCTGAAATGTAAATTTTTTACGATTGATTTTGTTAACATGAAAATTGAAAGCACATTACTGGCTAAAGTAAAAAAAAAAATCCATTTCATTCAAATTTCCACTCTCATTTTATTTTTTCAAAAGAAAACCAACCATTTTTATGAATAATTGATTTACCAATTTTGTTTATTAATTTATTCACCCATTCAAAAAGATTCATAAAAAAATCTCAAACCGGTGTACCTACAGCGTTAAATATACCCATGACCCAAGCACTTTTCACATTACAATCAAATCAGAGATAAAATGTATTTAGTTTTAGGATATACCATCTTACTAGAGACTTTTATTCGAGCTTTGAAAAACAATTTCTAGATGAGAATGAAATTCCGTACAATTTCTAGATGAAAATTCTTCGTCCTTTATGCTTTTCAATTTTGTTTGATTCAACCGCGTAAAGTAGCGAGATTAAATAGAGATTAAGAAGAAAAGAAAAGAAAAAATTGTCCACGAAATTTACTGCTCGGGGCTCCAAATCCCAAGAGCTCTTTTATGAGCCGAATGCGGTCTTTCAAGGCTCCTCCCCTAAACGTCGAGGAGATATCAGTTAACCTGCAAATACGAATATTTCGATTACGCTGTTTCAAAATCCCCGCCTCTACTTTGATTTTTTTCATTTAGACGAAACCAACATCATGGCTTGAAATATTTACAGAATATCCTTCACACGAAAAGGAAAAATCGCCTAAGTTTTCGGAAAGTATTTTCGAAAATTTAGGAAATGAGGTAGTATGACAGGAAATCTGCAACGTCGCAAACCGAGGTACGCGTTTCTACAGTATCGCCGTTGACATGCTATCTCGAATTGCGAACGCGCGCCTTTTCTGGGATGAGCCATGAGCGTGTAAAAGCTGAGCGCCTTCAAATTTGTGGATATGCAACATGGACATCCGTAGTGCTGGTGTAGTTGTATGCAGGCGCCGTGAAAAAGCTAGTGTGTTTCTAGTGTTTCATTCTAAGTCCGTCGCTCTCTTTTAAAATGATGATGTTTTTTTTTCCTTCTTTAAGACTGAAGTACGAGTTGAGTCACAATTAAAGCTAAAATACAAACACTTTATTTTTTATATTCCGAAAAGCCGTGTCTTGGTATAAACAAATCGTACATTCTTTAAGGAATGAGTCGTGAAAATTCTTCGAGAAAGTTTCCCCATTCACTCTTGTTGATTTTATTGAAGTTTAACTGCCTCATTTTGTGTGTTGCAAAGGGCGCTCCGATCCTCAAAACTTCCGTAATCGACCAAGAAAACCTTCGACTCGCAAAAATTGTCTTCGTATCGCTCTCTTTCAGGAGGTAAGCACGACATGCTACAGAAACTTCAACGTAAACCGAAGTTGCTTTTGACTGAAGGATATTTTCAACTTCCTTTTGTTTGGGATTATACATGCATATGTTACGTTGTGTGCGTAAGTACATACGTCACCCCACAAAAAATCGTCACGTTGCCGCATCTTGATAGCTTTTTGAAATATTTTTCGTTTATAAAGTAACAGACTCGAGGCTACGTAAGGAAATGTTAAGTATTATTAGAAGTCGCCATAGTAGCGAGGGTATGTTCTCGTTCCCCCTCGTACATTATTTTTAAAAAATTCAAAAATTTAAGAGTGACAGTAACTGAATTAGTAATATGCAGTTTACATGTATCGGGAGGAAAGAACATGCTCACTAAGTAAAGATTTTTATTTCAAGTCTCCGCGCATGAAACTAATTATTTTTTCCTTTTTTAGATGAGGGTGAAAGGGAGGGGCACTTAAGAGCAACAAATTGCATACTTTAAACTTAAGTTCCTTCCAAGAGACGATATTTTAGAAAAAAAAAGTTTTTGCGGACCACCGATTGCGTCTCAATCGTGGCTCTAGGCCCCCTGGCACCATTCAAATTTGGTAAAATTAGTGATCAGATTACTATTTAATTCGACCCGCGCGATCAAGTGGCTTGAATCGATGGATACAGAAATGCGCAGTCCCCCGAAGACGAGAAAGTGGTTCCAAACTCTATCAGGCTGAGGTGGTAATCCAAGTCTATTCAAAATATACACAGGGGAGGACAGGCGTAGTTTTGGGACGGCCTTGTCCTTCATCAATCACATGGAAATCTAGGTGCAAGTTCAGTAAGCGAGCATACTGAGGGTTCAGGAAAAGTCAGCCCTTACCTGGATTACAGCACCGCCATCCAAAAGAGCGTTACTAGTGGCTGAAACAGTCACTCCTCACTTTGGTTTTGGGTTTAAATTCCGTCGAAATTTTCGGGGGTGAAAATATCTCGCACCAACACCGTTCCGCGCAGTTAAAGTTTACCTCGCTCACCTGAACTGACAGCCCCTGAACGGGTGCACAACAAATATGGAGCGGAGACTCAAGGCAAGGTAGACTGAAAGCAGGCGCGCACAACTGCCCGGGATCGACCGTGATTGGCTGCGAAAAAATTTGCTTTCGACGCCCCGCAGGAGAAGAACTCCGGGTTCCCTGGTTCAAACCAGCGTAAACACACGGTTCGATGACGTCATTCTTGCCGACTAGCGCTCGTGGTCGCCGGCGAAAGCTTGGGGTGTCCTCGCCCGCGCTTCGGTCAACTTTTGAGTCATGCGCTCGGCTAACTCTTCCCTCAGCAGTAAATCAATACTGCCTTGTTGAGGAAAAACGCCGTATCAACCTCAGAGCGCTCCCAAATTTACCAAAATAAAACATGAATTTCCCAAAGAATCCGTCATTTCTTTTCGTTGACCAATCCAGAGGAGTTAATTGGCAATTTAATGTAGTGTATTCGAAAATTTTAAGGAGGAAAACCTCGTATCTTCCCTCGAAAACAAATATTTAATCGGAGTGAATTTGGCAGTATTCGAGGGTTCTTTCATTGTTTTTCCGTAACACGGTGGAACAGAACGGTACGCCTCTCTAGATGCTCGCCAGCGCCTGCTATCGATGGCACGCAACCAGGAGTACCGCAAGCATGTTTCAGTTACCTCGCTCCCTTGACTATTAATGCTTGATTTGATTAAGCTCAGATCAATCAAACTCGCTAGGGAGCATAGGATATCGCATCCAGCTCTTTGTGATACGAATGGCAAGAGCTGGAACTTCGATGACTATTCTTCGAGATCGCATCTCCATTCCGACGTTTCGAAATTTGCTCGCAGATGTTAATTTTTAGAGGGGGGAGAAATCGACACAGTGGTTTGCAATTTTCTCTGATTTTCCTGTGTCATTCCATCGTCATTAGGTGTATTAAAATTTTACACAAACTGATTGCGGTGAACGCACGAGTCGTCAGACAGTATGTTGGAGTTTTTTTTTGCCAAGGTGCGTTAAAAATTCAGAATCAAGCTGAAAATCTCAATACAGAGGGAAAAGTGTGCTCGTATGAGCTTTTTCCCTCTGCAGTGAGATTTTCAGCTTTATGCTGAATTTTTAACGCACCTTGGCAAAAAAACTCCAACCTACTGTCTTAACATTTTGGGTCATAATCAAGGGTGGCACCAAGATTTTTTCGTGGANGGGGGGGGGGGGGGGGGGGGGGCAGAGAAGACTCCTCAACAATGGGGGTCTAGCTCTAGCCCACCTCCTTGCCCAGAGGAGGAGGCTCTCTCGGGAAAATTGGAAGGCCCTAGAAACAGCTTCGAGTTTCTATTACCAATAAATTAATTAGTAATACAATTCAAATAACTCCCAAAAAAGCCCCCCTTAGCCG